ACTGCGAATAGAAATAAACAAGTTACATATATATAAAGTTTATTTAAATATAATCACCATTGGATTCAATCACGCGTTCGCAGCGATCGATCCAGGCTTGAAAGACACGCTTTAAATCATCATGAGAAAATTGCTCAAATTGCTCTCTTACAAAATTTTCAAGATCATCTGGACTCGCGAATTCGCGTCCTTCAGCTCTCTTTTTTAGCGTGCCGAATAAATAAAAGTCAGAGGGTGCAATATCAGGTGAATAAATTGGGTTTGGAACAACTTTGACATTGTTTTCCACCAAGTAATTCATTACCTTATGACTTTTGTGAACTCTTGAATTATCAAAATGAATTGCAAACTTTTGTTTTTGTTGTTTGGATTTCTCAAACTCATCAGAATTGATAATTTGAGTAAGAACATTGTCAATTAGATACTGAGCATTCATCGTATTAGGTTTTTGAAGAATATCAATTGCGATGATGCCATTCACGCCCCAAAAAACCGACAACATCATCATTGGTGTGTCAATTTTTTTCTTCGGGAATGTTTGCGGATTTTCATCCTTCGGGATCACATGATTTTGGCTTCTGTTGCATATTGAAACCAAGACTCGTCCCCTGTTACTAAAAAGCGAAACTTCTTGGATTGATACGCACCCAATATAGAGAGGAGCTCTTTCGAAGTTGGACTCTAGATTTTTTTTGAACTGAATTAAGGTTGTGCGGAACCCAACGTGTATACGCTAGTTTGTAGTTCAAATAATTGTGCAGATAATAACTGACTGTTGTACGTGGTATCTTTGTCATCTCCTCTATCCTTCTGAGTGATGCTCTTGGGTCTTCATCTAGCGCTTGAAGAATTGCTTTGATTTTTCTTTGATCCGGCGATTTTTTGTCAATTTTTATGATGGGCGCCTTTTTGTTCATGAAGTGATACATCCTAACATGATACGTTACAGTGGAATAGCTAGGAGCATCCATACCGAAGCATTTTACCAATGTCTCGTAGATTTTTTTACAGTCTTTGCATTTTTTTGCAAGAGCGAGGATGTTTTCTTTATGATTCATTAAAAAAATAAAAAAAATCCCGCCAAAATTTCCCGCGAAACCGCCTCTTGTCTCAAAATTCATTTTATATCCCGGCATGGCGCCAAAATACAACATACTCATCATATACATATATTCATATTTTTTATTATATATTTATAATCAGCATATATCTCCTTTAATAGTCTCATATAGAGCGCTGTGCTAAACGCACCTTTGGACACCCTATATCAAGGCTTGGGAATTTACTTTTAAGATCATTAACTTTGTCTCAGGCAATGTAGTATAAGGGAGAATCTTTTGAGAATACATTGAGAATTTCATCTTCTTTTAAACTAGGTTTGAAGGTACTAAAGGTATTGTAACCTTTATAATATAATAAGTTCCTTAATCTCCGATTTGTAAATATATAATGACATGAAAATTCGTTTAATATCTTTAGAGAAAATTCCCCAAAATTTCCAATATCTTTCCATCGAAGATTCGAATAAATATCTACCAGGTGAAATACCATATTAATGGGTATTTTATTTGATTTAATGAGTTCTATGATTTGTAATGATTGTTGTAAAACATTATTCGAGTTGATATCCCAAATTATTTTGGATGCTTTGCAAGGGTACTCGAATACATCAATAGGATTAATATTATTAAAATCATTGAAATCTTCAATTGATGTCTGCTCTGAACATGACATACTTCTTGTAATTATATTTTAAAAAAAGTGTCAAAATAGTATTGCCAAAAAGATGTTGTAAATATAAAATTTCCACTAATATATCAATGTTTCATTAGTGGAATCAAACAACATCCATAAATAGATTGTGTAAATTGCAGGCACTTTTCCCGAAAATTTTAACATTAACGAAGCGAGCAATTTCATTTTTAAAATACCCAGATTTTCCTTACTTTTACCACCTCTCTAAAGCTGGGGACACCGCCTATCGTTGGGAGTAGCTATTAAATAGAACCACCAAGGGTATTTTTCGAACTGCCGGTGTAGTGGAAACATCTGACATAATGATTCATTATGCCAAGGTTTGATTCCCATTTACCTATTTTTTTTCTTTTTTGGATCATGAATTTTTTTTGGGTCACTATAAGATTTGTTTCATGTTCTAAATCTGCGGCATATGTAATCTATTTTTATTTACCTATTTTTTAAAAATCTATTGGATTGCCAAATTTGAATATATTTAAAATCATAAAACTCCAAAAAAACTATAAATATATGTTTTATGCATAGTGCCGATACTCAAATATCAGATTACTTAGATCCATGAATAATATCCGAATTTTTTTTCTTAAAATTAAACTTCAAAACTTCTTGCAATCTTATTCTTCATCTATTGTAAATTTTTAAAACCATTTTTTAAAATAATTTTGCGTAACTTTTATTCTCATGTTGTTTTAATCGAAAATTGATACATTTTCAAAAAAATAATATTGACTTATGAAATTCATTTTTAAGGTGAAATAGTATTGTTTTTATTAAAGTATATGAATAATATATAAAAAATTAATGAATAATATAAGCAGATTTTTAGTTTACAAAACAAATATGAGCAATGCAATTTCAAACTTTTGCTGGCAATTTCGATATTGCTCAAGTTTGTAGTATTTGTGATACCTATAACATCGGCTTAATCAAAATTCGATTTTTCTTATGAGTTATTGAGAAAATTTGATTGCAATGAGAAGGATTTCGACGTTTTTGATAAACTAAGAGCTGAGCTTTAGGGGTTCAGTTCATTTATGGCTGTAGTTTGATGCGTAGATCTCTTTTTTATTGTAAATTCTTTCAGCATGGAGATCGAGAATGAATCTTTTGAGAACTTTATGAGTTTTTACACCCGTAAAGAGGTCCTTCGAGGAAAGATAGTCCAGACTACATGAAGATGTGGGTTAACCAAAAAAATCCGATGGTTTCCCCATATTCATGTAGATCTTCGAAAAAATGAGCACCAAAAAAGCCAAAAAATAGGCTTTTTATTGGATTTGTACACTAGATCAATAACCTATTTAGGATCTGACACTCTTTTTAGCCAGAGATATGAGGTCCTTTCTAGGAAAACGATCTATTCATCCATAAAAAAAATGAATTATCGTTTTCCCCAGAAATTACATGGGGAGTGGTAAAAGTAAGGAAAATCTGGGTATCTGATTTCATGCATATTTTTATGATTGCGCATTCTTTTGGAGGGCAACAAAAGTATATTATTACACAGTGTTCTTACCTCTTGGTGATTTCTTGAATATCAATGTCATTTTCATGAAATCAAATTCAAATTTAAAATTTTCTAAAAAATAAGAACGTGAATATAGAAACCATATTCAAACATTCTTTTTGATTATAATTAAATGCATTGATAATTTACTTTTTTCTTCATTCGATAAAATTACATTAATTGTCTGCATGAAAGCATATCACTTAAATTTAAGACTCTCCTATACACAAGCTAAGATTTTATTTAAGAGTCTTCTAGATTTTAATTAAAAATCATTCAAAATTAAATCAGAGATACCAATCAGCTTGTCTTTATCCTATTTATCAGGAAAACTATCGAAAAGAAGCTTCTTGTGTTGTAAACAGAAATTCATCAAAAGTGACACCTCAGAAAAGCTAAAATATTGAATTTTTGGAACTTTTGATAGAGCACGTTTTTAAATATTAATTAAAGTAAATGTATATTTTGTATAGATTCTTTTTAATAAAAAATTTTGAAGAAGAACACAAAATCTTCTGAAAAATAATATCACATAAACTCATATTATTTTCTAATATATAACTATTTTATATAAAAATCAAATTCAATGATCTTAAAAGCGAAGGATAAACCTCAAAATTTACGAATATAATGAGTGGGAATATAATGCTTATCTATCATAAAACCATATGAAATATCAATTTTTGCTTTACGCCTAATTTTTGACGACAATTAGCAAAAAATGTTAAATGTTAACACTCAGTCCATTTGAATATGAAAAATAAAATTGACTTTAATTAAATGTTTTTATTTATCATGCAATTCTTCTTGCGACCAAAGAGTTGAATAAAATTTCAAAAAATAAGATAGCTTAAAAAAATAATATACGGTAGTGTTTAGTAATAGATGAATAGTATATAAATTCTATTAAAATGGATTTGATCCAAAAAAATATAAAACCAAAAATAATTGTTATAATTTAAATGAAGAAGTAATTTAAAACGATTTTATTTATGATCAAATTTTATATATTTTTTTGGATCAAATCCATTTTAATAGAATTTATATACTATTCATCTATTACTAAACACTACCGTATATTATTTTTTAAGCTATCTTATTTTTTGAAATTTTATTCAACTCTTTGGTCGCAAGAAGAATTGCATGATAAATAAAAACATTTAATTAAAGTCAATTTTATTTTTCATATTCAAATGGACTGAGTGTTAACATTTAACATTTTTTGCTAATTGTCGTCAAAAATTAGGCGTAAAGCAAAAATTGATATTTCATATGGTTTTATGATAGATAAGCATTATATTCCCACTCATTATATTCGTAAATTTTGAGGTTTATCCTTCGCTTTTAAGATCATTGAATTTGATTTTTATATAAAATAGTTATATATTAGAAAATAATATGAGTTTATGTGATATTATTTTTCAGAAGATTTCATTCTATATGCCTATGAAAAGTACTCTCAAAACTAACTTTTTCCTAATTATAATTAAATCTAGAATATTGTATTATGCTTACTATTATTTCATTTTTCTCATTCAATTTAGAATTTACAAATGTCAAAAAATTGAGAGCTGTCACTTTTGATGAATTTCTGTTTATTACACTTGAAGGTATTTCCTTTATAAACATTATTCATTCTTATATAACCGATTATTTTTCATTCAAAATGAATGATGATGAAACAAACTTATGCAGATCAATATTAAACCAACTGAAAACACGAAAATATTTTAACATGTTTTGGGACTATGATCCTGACTTAGTAAATCCAAATATAGAGCATCCAATCAATTTTGATCTTATTTCGTCGAAATTATTTACAAATACATACACAAACATATCAACTTTCATTTCCGACATTGCAACATGTATTGAAAATGGAAGAATTGGCTATCCTGAAGGCTCAATTCGTCACGCAGCAGCAGTCCAGCTTCAAAACTACTTCGAAGGCATTCTTAACGCTGTGAATCCCCTTGGTGGACCCATTGCCATGCCATTGCAATATTTTACTAAAGAATACAACGAAAAATGTCGGCCACCAGTTCCAGATATTACACAAAAGAAACCTAAAACAGAAAAAGAACCAGGATCTGATATATTTACAATCGAAAGCGACCCAAACGATCTTTCAATTCTTTACAGAGATATAAAATTATTAACTTCTTCATCTTTAGTGTTCGAACTTGCTGCTTTTGCACGAAAACTACAGCCTGATATAATAGTAATCGGAAATGAAGTTACAATTAACATAACGCTTCTTCGAGAAGAAAATAGACCAAGTATGAGAAAATTCGTCACTTACCTCTTGAAAAAGGCTGCTACTGGAGATATCGATGCATACTCTAGACCGTTTGGCCGCAAAATTTCACCAATTCATATATATGAACGCGGATTTCCATCTGCTTCACAATCTACGATCGTTTCTACCAAATAAAGTACTGTTGTTGTTGATTTTGTAAATATTTTAAATAGCTTTATTGTTATATTTCAAAAATTGTTTTTTATTCATTTCTGTAGAATATTTTGATGATCCAACTAAATTTTTTGTCTGGAGAATGACTGGTATTTAGATGTGTTTCGCCAAATTCATATATTCATTGTAATTATATCTCTAAACTAAATTTTATAGTCGAAGAAGAGAATTTCCTTAAAGAAATCCTTAATTCGGCTCATTTTATCTATGATTCTTTGATGAAAAATCAGAATTTAATAAAATATTTTTGAAATTTTGAATTTGTTTTGTTAAAAATAAAGTAAATAAATGCGATTATATCTAAATAGAAATATTTACAAACAAAAACAAGGATTAAGAGAAAAATACGAGATCATCTTCTTCAATTCCGGGGAATGTGGGTTTAACTGTATTTAATCGCATCCTCGACTTAACTCTATTCTGTGGCTTCTTGTGTAAGAACAATGAAGATGCACTTCTTACTTTTGATGAAACAACAGGTCTAATCTCCTCTGTTTCATTTAAATCGTCGTAAGAATTATCGCGTGATGGTCGTTCTATTGGTTCCCAGTCTAATTGGACTATCTGTGTCTTAGAAAGTGAAGGAACAATTCCAGTAGGATGAGAATGTCGAAAAAGTGGCATTTCAGCGAGCTCTGCCATTGTAATTCTTTTATCTGGGTCGACAACAATCATTCTAGCTATTACGTCTGCAATTTCTTTGGGAACAAACTCATTTAATTTATAATTTCCTGCGAGAGCGAGCTGTCGTAATGCTCCCAAAGAATCGCACTTCCAAGGGGAAGTTCCTGTAATCAGAATCGCAAAAACTATTCCAAGAGCCCAAACATCGCCTTTAAATGGATCATTTGGCTTTCGTAGGAATATTTCAGGTGCTGTAAATTCGCAGGACCCTGAAAATGTCTTATGTAACTCGCCAATTTTTGTTTGCATACAAAGTCCAAAATCCGTAAGTTTGGCTCTTTTATTTTCGTCGAGTAGGATGTTTCCTGGCTTGATATCTCTATGAGCTATTCCGTTGGCGTGACAGTAAGCAAGTGCGCTAACAATTTGAGATGCAAGTGTCAAAAATCTCGGAATTGGCAAACCTCTTGTCACTTCTATTTCATCGAAAAGACTTCCGTTTGGACAGTATTCTAAAATGTAATAGAATTGGCATCCAATCTGAAAATGATCATATAAACGAATAATATGCGGATGGTTTAAGGTACTGAGAGCCTTTGTCTCTGAATCGAATATTTCCCAGGTAGACTGCACTTCGGAGGCATCGACTGTCATGACTTTAGCCACAAATAAAGTTAAAAATTTTATGTGTTCAACAAGAAATACTTCAGCGAAGCCACCCTTTCCTATCATTTGCGTGAATTTGTAGTCACGTATGACAAAAGGAAGGTTCGCTGAACGGGCAAGTGTCCCGTTATCTTTCATAATCAATTTGAATACTGTAGTTATAAAAGTGTCAATGAATTGTAAACATTCAATTTTTCAATACACTTAACATATAAGAGATATTCCTATTATACATAGAAGGGAAAAAATTAAATATTTTTTTCTGTTGTTTTTTTGTTGTCATAAATTGAATTTTTCAATTTCGCACAAACTTGAAAGGATTTCTCGAATATCGCTGTTATTTTCTGAGAGATTCCATATTTTTGTAACAGCAGTTTTGATGTTTTCGAGATCAGATTCTGGAACGCTGAAGATATAATAAACTAAGTTCTCAATCATCGAAGGAAGCAGCCAGAGCATCTGGATTTCTTGGGATTCCCCATTTTGGAACGCAGTGAGTGTAGCTAAAGCTGCCGCTTCCTTTTCTGGGGCCGAACATTTTCTATTTATTCTGGATTCAATGGCTTCTGGGATTGTTGGGGCAGAATCAACCGAGTTGGGCACATTAGTAAATATCGCCTGCAAAAACATGCAGATAAATTTGAAAACTAACGGTCGAGAATCTCGAATTATGTCTCCTAATAGGTTAAAGTCGAATTTTTGAACTATTTCGTTAGCTACTCCGCATTCATTATTATTTGCACATGAAATGAGAATAGTAAACGCTTCAGGAATTATTGCAGAAGGAATATTGTTCGAAAAGAGGTTATCCATGATAAAAAGATGGATCATGTGGTTAATTAAAAATAACGATTGCTTATCTTCGACGGAAAACCCAGAGAAAATGTCAATTATTAAAACATTTAATTCTGTTGTTATTCCGTACAAAGATTGCAGATCTGATAGTAAGCTATCGATTAGATCACTTGGGAGAGTCAAAGAAAGCTCTCTATTGACTTTGAAACAAAGATTTAAATATTTGAGATATTGTAAGGTAAAAACTGGTAATCTATTGCCAATCTCTGATAATGGAACAATTAGAACAAGTCCGTGGTTCAATAAAGAAGCTATTGATGAAGAATCATATCGAATTAATTTTCGTAACAATTTAAAGAAGCGAATTGTAACTTTTTCATCGCCTGAGTCCAATACGTACTGAACAAACTTTGAATAATACTGTAATAAGTCTTGTTCTTGAAATGCTTGAGTGACACTTGGACAAGCTATTAAATATTTCATACTTCTTAAGTATTTATTAAAATAAATTGGATCTATTACGCAAGCTAATTGAGCTAACCTTTCAGAAAAGTATGGAGAATTAAGTATTTCGCAATATTCATATGGAATTTCGATGTATGGTTTAATTAAACGGGCCAAACATGTTAAAACATCAACAGAACCACTAATTTGTTCTCTTTCTGAAAGAGAAATAAAGTCTTCAACATACATTGCGAATGAATTTTTTGAAACTGTTGGTAAATCCAAGTCTTGTTCATAATTAATCATTGGCTGCTTGCGTAATATCTTCTTTAGATCGTATATGCATTGTCCAAATTGGTTTTCGCATATCTTTTTTAAAAAGTTGCCTTCATCTAAATCCATGAGAAAAAAGAATAATAAAAAAGATTATGACAAGATTTGAAATCGCTTTAATGATGAGAACCTGATGATGAAATATTTCAAAAAGAAAACAAATAATTTTGGACGATATTATATCATCTCTTTATTTTCTACAAGAATTCTAGTCACATAATTTCCATAACCTATACATTCAATGTGCTAGGAAATGCTAATTATAAGATGAGAAATTTAAATCATTCTCAAAGCGTTCTCTATTTAATTAGTGTATTTGCCAATATTGCTAACATACATCATTTTGCTACTCCCTTGTTTATGAAGAGTCATTGACTAATATATTTACTACTCCAATTGAAGTTTATTTTTTTTTACAAACAAACTGCACTACTTCAGATTTATTTGAAGATAACTTGTAATTGAAAGGGATGAATTTGCTATGGGCCCATCGTTCATCAGCATACGAAGACGTTTAGAATCAGAATTCAGTTAAAATTTAAATTAATTATGCAAAATCTTTTAACAGATGGCTAAACTTTCCGTAAGAGAACCACTTACATTTGTCCCTTCTAGATCTGAAGATGGATTAGTACAAACAATTCTTAAATCATATGATTTATTTAATAACGATTATTTTTCATTAAAAGCCTCAAAAGAGAGTGAGCCAAAATACCTACTTGAATATGCATTTGATAGAAATATTAGAACTTATTATTTCACTGATGATAAAGATCCTCATGTTGAATTTATTTTCAAAGGCGTGTTCAATTACTCTGGTATTAGAATGTATGGTATTTATAACCCCTACGTTACTGATTTTGATGTTGTTGGATCGAAAGATGGTAAGAATTATAATATAATCAAATCTTATAGAAATATTGGAGAAGAAATATGCGGGAAGCTGGTGTTATTCGAGTGTTATCAAAATGAATTATATCATCGAATTAGGATCAATTTTCTTCGAGATAGCTGGAATAATATTTCTGGATCCATGTTTGAGCTTGATATATTTGGTACATTTCTGGGAATATCTGTTCCAACATGCATGCTTCTGAATGAATTATCATTAGTCCATTTAGCTATTATTTCTCCGTTTTCATTGATTATATTAAGCATATGATCTAAAACTCTTTTAAAATACGGAATAATGAAATTATTGTCTGTGAGATGAATTAGGATTTTGCAATAATATCATAATGCATAACTATCGAAAGAAAAACATCCAAAAATAAGTTGAAGTTTCTCCATCATAAAAGATATACATCCAATAAATATTCATCCAATAGAAATCAAAAACTATTGCAACTGTTATTCCTTTATAAGCTAATGAATAATTTAAGGATGCACCTACGCCCCTATGACAAGGCCTTCAATTCAATTGTTTAAGGTTAAATTTCAATGACGCTTCACGACTGTTGTCAAAAAAATTGAATTAAAGTCAGAAGGGCGTAAGTGCGGCCTTAACATGAGAATATTTATTTTGATTAATTCAAACCTAAAGTCAGAATTCACATTATTAGTTCTTGAATCATGAAATGCATTTAGATGAAGTATGAAGTTATTGAACTTTTCATTCTAACAAATAGTGCAAACGCTCTCTAATACAAATCTTACATTTATTTGACTCTTTCTTCCAAAATGCATTTGGGGATAAAGAACAGTAAAAACTATTTTTGTTTTATGTTCTGGCACGTTATTACAAATATATTGCTCATTTTGTCATATAAGAATCCAAGATTTAGATATCTAAGGCGTTGAATTTTGTGTTAGAAATAGTTAGGAAACATCATTTTATGAATAAATAAACTTAGCGCTCATTATAATAAATAATTTTCATGTGTTTTTGGCACTTTTTATATGAATATTTAAGTAGATTTTTAGATCTCTTCATGATGTTGATGTCGTATTGCTGCTACTGCTAATGATAATACCCTTATACATTAGCATGCATCTCTCAATCACTGGTTTAGCGGGTTTAAACTATATCTCACTCAATATTTTGCCTTCATATATAACGACTAATAAAGGATGTTTCTTCCAGATATATCATCTTATGTTGGCAAAATAAGATCATGTAAACTCAAATGTACAGAGTCTCCCTGCGTTCACTTATTGATGACGACAGTAATTAAATTACACGCAGACTATGCATCAAAATGAGAAATTCAAACAACGGAATTATCCGTCTTTTCTGAGGAGAGCTGATTTGTATTGTTATTTATTGTATATAACTTGAAATGATTTAGAATTGGAAATGATGAAAAGTGACAATAATCGATTTGTTTTATAAAAGTGACAAATGAGTACTGAAGATTTAGAATTTGTCCAAAGCCCAACACATTATCAAGATGATGCCCCCAAAACTAATACGACGACAACAACAGAAACAAGACCATCGTTACCAACTGGAAGAATTTTCACGACATTTTTGACATTAAAAGTAATTCCGTTTGGATTTTACATGTTTAGCGGAATTTTCTTCAGTAATTCCGTATTTCAATGGGTCCTTTGTATTTTATCATCATCAATTGATTTCTGGTTCACTAAAAATGTTGCCGGAAGATTAATTCTCGGTATGCGCTGGACAAACATCGTTAATAAACGTGGAGAGAGTACATGGAAGTTTGAATACGCTCGCCAGGATTCACAAGACAAAGCAGCTCAGAAAAAGTATTTCTGGCTATTTCTCTTTGTTTCTGCTGGTGTCTGGGGATTATTTACGTTCTTTAACGTCATCAGACTAAATCTTGGCTGGGTTTTGGTTACAGGAGTGAGCTGTGCATTGGCTTCTACAAATGCATGGGGATTCCTCAAATGTGATCATAGTGTTAAGGATGACGTTCAGAGAGGTGCAAGTTCCTTCTTTAGACAAACTGTTTTCCCTCTAATTCTTCAAAATGGAACAAATTTATTCGCCGGAAATACAAATACTCAACCCGCTACACAAGTATAAGTATATTTACCTAATTATTTTATCTTATATTGTTGTTATTTTATAATAAACCAACTTTTGTTTGATATTTTTTATAATCTTTAACCAAATCAATATGTTTCGTATGAATTTGAAGAGTTTTATATGAAATGTTTCTTTTTCTCTATGAAAAATTAAGAAATCAAGAAATTCGAAAAATTACAAACGAAATTTTTTAGAAAAGATATAGTAAATAGTTTTAGAATCTTATAGTTGTGCTAAATCCATTATTTTCAGATAATAATATTTAAAAGTATAATTATCAAATTTATTCAAGATCAATTTTTGTAATACCATTCTTATCGACAAGCTTAACAATGAATCCGTGTGGAGCTACTGTAAATCTTTGCTTGATCTGATTTAATGCCAATTTCATGAGTTCTTTACCATCTTCTAATGTCAATCCTTCTTTGTAGTGCTTATCAAAGACGGACATAACGAAATACTGGCAATAGCCTTGAGCACCATAAGGAATACTCTGCAATGTACCCAAATAATCCATAAAGTATAAATGTGGCTTTCCGTCGTATCCGGAAAGAAGCATGTTAACTTCGTATGGACTCTTTCGTACTGCTTTAGCCATAGTATGTCTGATAAAGTGTGCAAGGGCGTCACTTGAGAGTTCAACGCCATTTCTAAACTTATACAATGCGACATTTCCTTGTAGGTATTCGGATAATTGAAGGCAATCGCCTGTCTCGCCGGACATAGCTAAAGCATGTCTGTCGTCTAATTGTGCAATTCGGTCGTAATTTTCGCTCATGCAAATAATTGAGGAAGATACTGATGAGTCAGCGGCTATCAAAACCCAATCCGGTCCTTGAAGTCCAACAATGCTCAGCATTTTTGTCAAGTTTTTTTGTAAATTTGAATTTGACCAACTATTGAGAAGTATTTTTTATTGAACAGGATAATTTACCACTGCATAGAAAGAATAAATTGTCCTAAGAAAATCATAAAATCCTCAATTGGCATCTGAAGAATTATTCAATTTGGAGGATAAATTGTTTTCACCTATTGAAACCTGTATAATATTTGCAATGCTATTTCACAACTTTCTTATTTTAACGTAATTTTATATGATTTAAATTGTTCTCATAGATAATCTTCGAGAAAATTGTACAAGCTATCATAAGAATCATCGCATTCCATCATATTTGGAAGTCGAGTTGATTAAATAGGCTCATTCACATTATTTCATATAAAATCACTTCAAATATGCTAAATAATATTAAATTTGTCAAACATTCACTACTATAATGATCGATATGATCAATAAATATATAATATTGCTTATGCAAGCCACATATCTTTATAAACAAGGATGGTTTGGAAATAAAATATGTAAAAGCATTAGATTTTAGCTAACTGTAGAGAGATTAGTGATGGGTTGGTGACAAGCTGAAGGCTTCATCGCTCATTTTGTTTTGATCGAAAATCATTTTCAAAAAATCGATTGCTTTGAAAAATTATCTTGAAAAGTGATAGTTTTTCAAAATGATATATCAATTATGATTAATAGAATATTTCTAGAATTTTTTTCAGATCGATTTATTTGAATTCAAATTCATTTCACTTTTCGATGCAAGCACCAAAGGCTTACAACTATACACAGGAAGAAATCAACGGTCTCCACGCCGTTTTCAACCAAATTGACACAGATCACAACGGCCTTGTTAATCAGCCAGAATTCTACAACTTCTTAGTTCAAGCCCAGATGGATACACGTTTCATCAAGGCTACATACAAAGTTTTCGATGAAAATCACGATGGAAACCTCTCATTCGAAGAATTCCTTGCCTACCTTGATGCTTGCAACAAATCTGGAGCTGATCCAAGATATTTATTCAGACTCATCTATCAGGCCGTCGATACAGATAACGATGGCTACTTAAGTTGTGACGAGCTCGTTGTCTTCACAGATCTTTGCGGTCAGTCAATGTCAAGATCTCAGGTTGATGAGGAACTTAAGAAGATTGATGTTGATTCTAATGGAAAGATTGATTTCAATGAGCTTTGCAGAGCTTTCTCCATTTAAACAATACCCATTAAGTTATATTTTAGAAAAAATATTTCCATATTTTTCAAAAATTTAAACATCCCAAAGAAATCACCTATTCACATAAATCTATTGGTTATTTGAGATTTTGAAATTTGATAGTAACTATAATAAAATACAATAAAGGAAATATTTATTGTTTTCAACCTTAATAACAAAATCTCCGTCAATCTAGATAGTTACTCTTTGGGGATATTTGTGGTAAGTAGCTGTTTATCATTGTTGAAGTATCTTATCGGATATATGTGTAAATTTGTTTTCAAGATTAATTGGAATAAAATCACTTAATATTGAAAATCAGATAAGTTTGTCAAGGTCATTTATCACTAAGAATAGAATCTAAAACATATTTGAAATATACCGAAGTAAATCTACTGGGTTTATTTCATGTGATGGTCAGATATGTGTCACAGTAGATTCAATATGTTTAAATATGCTGAAATTGCAGACTCTAATGTTGATTTTATGCAAAAAAAAACTTTACTCGACAAATTCAAAACGATAATTTATTATGATTCAAGATGATTTAGATTTCATCCAATCCTCGCCTCAGCAAAACATTCCACAAGGCGTGTCAGTTCCTGTTCAGAATATTCCACCTCCACAACCAACTTTTACAGCGCCACAAGCTACAGTTCATCATACAGTTGGCGAATACGCTTCAATTTGGCATGGAGGCTTCCCAGGCGAGCCATCATTATTTGAAGAATTAGGAATACATAACTCTGATGTAAAATCCAACCTCATTTACATTTTATCACCAAACAAAGTTCCAAGAGCTATTGATAACAACTTTTTGATCTCAATTTTATTCTTTATAGCATACGCTTTTCTTCTCCTTTTGACAGGAATGCCGAGATTCGGAACAGTTTACATGATTGCCGTTATTGGCTCGATTGTATTATATTCTGCTTTTCATTACATGTCATTAGCATTTGTCCCTGATTCAGAGTTTACAGTTATGACACTTGTAACAGCAATTTCATATTGCTTACCTCCAATTGTCCCTGCTTTGTTTATATCAAGAATATTTAAACTCAGAATCATTACAGCAGCTATAATATCAATTCCATGCGTAGGATGGGCTTCCTATTGCGCAGCTAGATATTTACTTCCAATTCTCAAATTACAAACTTTAGAACTTGTAATTATTCCATTATATATATTCTTTTCATATATGTTGTTGTTACCACTCATGTAAACATTGTTATGTCTCATATTCTTTGTAATTGGTCAATTTTTTTTTATTTCAAATTTAAATTTTCTAAAACATACTTATCAAACTCATCTCTAAATGATCTCATTGTAAAGAATGAAAAATATTTATAATTAGGAGGAAATCGAAGTAATTATTTTGATATTGATTGGTTTAGATAAATTTTCTTTTGGAAAATGTTGCACATATATAGAAACATTAATTTCATAATGATATAAAGCCAGGTTATGATTAAACATAATGTAGATGTCTGTTTGCGGCGACTTTTTAAATTTATTCTAATTTCCTGCACAATGAAGTGCCGTTTGACCAATTTAATCTTATTCGATTTTCAAAACATAGAGAAAACCATTAGACAAGAACTCCAAAAATAACTAATCCACTTGTATGAAATCTAACTAGCTCGCTATCATTTCGATTTTTTGAAACTTATAATCATGTTTCATTATAAAATAAACCGAAATTATCTTGTTGAACATCCAAGCATGCATACAAAATCATAATAATATATCAAAAATATCATTACAATATCATTATAAATAAAAAATTAAGTTTTTGCTTTTAAGAGAAAGAGGATAAAAGTGAATTTTTAAAAAAGAACGTTTCTAAAAGAAATGGTGAATAAAATATTTCTAAAGAAGAGGTGCAGAAGGATCCATTGAGTTGAGTAATTCGCTGAATTTGTCGACTGGTTCCTGTTTGTCCAAAGCTCTCTTTAACCAGCAAGAAACAATCCAAATAGTTAGTAACAAAACAGCTCCAACAGCAATCAGAATCGGAATAATGTGATTGGACAGTTTGTAGTGGTTCATCTTAATTCCCTTGTATATATACTCCTGTTCCTTACTCAGTTTGCACCTGGAAACATAGTTTTTCCATGAATCTGAATTTGGCAAATGCAATTTTATGGATTTGCTGAAATTTTTGAACACTTCTTCATTGAATTCTTTAGGAGGCTTGTCCCCGAGATAGAGCTCGTCCATGTTAACACAGCCGTCGAAGATGTTTAATGATGTTTCTGAAACATTTTGTAAATTACTCAAAACAAAAATTTTTGATTCAGAACAACCTGAAAAATGGGAATCTCCGACGAGTTCTGTTAGTCCCGTGAGGTTTACTTTAGTTAGCTGCTTGCAGTTCATGAAGGATTCGCTATAAAGTTTAGATAATTTTGGAAAATTAATTATTGTGAGATTTGTGGACTTAAAAGCGAATTCTGAGATGACTGTGACTAAAGGAAGAGTTGCTCTGGCCAAATTATGGCAGTTTTCGAAGGATGAACCCGAAATTGCGAGAAGATTTGGGAAATTAATGGTTTGAAGGGCAGAACAGCCATAAAATGAACAATTGGCAACAGATTTGGCCATATCAAAGCTTATTTTTGATAATTTGTCGCAGTTTCTGAATGAAAATGCTGGAATTAAGTTGAGATTATTAAATTCAGCAGTTTTGAGTGATTTACAGTTCTCAAATGCTGATTCCTTCATTTCTATGCATGTAGGGATGCTGATTGCCTCTATTTGAGAGCAGTTTTCGAAGGAAGAAACTCCAATTTTTTGGAGATTTGAAAATTTCAACTTAAATAGATGCTGGCAATTGAAAAACGCACTGTCGCCAATCTCTTCAACTGATTTGGCATCTACTGATTCTAATAAAACACAGTTTCTGAATGAAAATGTTGAAATAATTTTGAGATTTTCGAATTCAACATTTTTCAATGATTTACAGCTCTCAAAAGCGGATTCCTTCATTTCTGTGAGTGAATTGAAACTTATATTCTCGATTTGAGAGCAATTTGCGAAAGAAAAAATTCCAATTTTTTCAAGATTTGGGAATTTCAACTTGGAAATGTGCTGACAGTTGTAGAACGCATTGTTTCCTATCTCTACAACCGATTGTGCGTCAAATGATTCCAAGGAAATGCAGTTTTTGAAAGAATTTGAACCAAATTCTTTTAACAAGGGAGCAGAGAAGATTTGAAGGAAGTGGCAACCTTCGAACTGACTTCCTGTGTCTCCATCGACAGATAAATATGTAAGTTGAGGGAAAACAACGTTAATAAGACGGGTATTTGTAAAAGCTGAGGATTTGATGACTTTTACAGCAGGACATGATATCTCTGATAGATGTACGCATCTTTCGAACGAAGAAACACCAATTGTTTCGCACTTTTCTAAATAAATTTTTTGAATGTTGCTAATTCCGAAAGATCTATCTCCAATGGATGTAACTTTAGGGAAACTGAGGACTGTTGCCGTTGTTGTATAGAAAGAACGCTCTTCAAGTGTAGATACCGAATTAAATTCGGTTTTTGAAAGGGGACCAGCCTCTAAAAATGCTTCTCTTTTAATCAATTCGACATCTGGAGCATAGACGTACTCCAACAATTGACATCTGTGAAATGTCAAGCCATTTATCACTTTTATCTTCGGAAGAGATATATTTTTAAGTTTCGTACAGAACGAGAAGTAGTTGCCGACTTCATATCCCTCTGAGTTTGTTGTCAACTGTGTTTCTAAGTTTGGCAAATTTAATTCTTTCAGGGAAGAACAATCGTAAAAAGCAAATGGAGATATGGTTGTAAGACTTGGAAGGTATATAGTGACGAGAGCAGCATTGTTAGAAAGACAGTATTGACCAATTGAAACACAACTTTGTAAATAAACTTCTTCTAGGCTCTGGCAGTTGGCAAATGAGTATTCATTAGAAGATGTGGCACCTGATATGTTAATAACTTTGATTGTTTGATGATTTAGGAAGAGACCATATGGAATTTCGCCGGAAAAACATTCTGATTCTACACTAAACTCTACAAGATTAGAGAAATCTTTGGAATTGAATTCTGTTATGTCAAAATTTCCAGATAAAATCTTTAATGTTGAAATATTTGAATATGTAAGATTATTATCACGTATCATGCTAGTTAAATTATCAGATTCATATATTTCTGAATTGATTGAAGCATTTAAAGCTCCAATAGACTTAAAAAATAACGTGAGCATTTAGTAAAATACTTTTCTGTTCAAAATTTAGGAATATGAAATATCGATTCGGTATGCTAAATACTATATTGATAAAACAACAATATTTCAGATCAACTATGGTTTTGTCACTTTTATAGAAAGACTAAACAGCAACTAATATGTTTTAGTATGTCAATCAAGAAACAAAAATAAACCACTACAAAATTTAAGAATAAAAATTGAAAAGAAAATATAAAAATTTGGTTGTCAATGAAACATATGGAAATGGAGACAAGACTCTTCTATCTGTTATTGATGCAACTGACTTTGTTCTTAAAGTCGAATGTGAAGTTATATATGGCGTTTTGGAAAAAGAAGTTTGTGCAGAATATGCTTTTCAAGGAAGTCGAAACACTTTATCATCTATCACATTTCCAGAAGGATCTAAACTTAAAACAATCAATGATTGTGCATTTGCACAATGCAAAAAACTATCAGCTGTTGACTTTTCGAACTGCAACTATTTAACAAGTATTGGAATCAAAGCATTTTATGAGTGTAGTATTCTATCAAACGTAATACTTCCAACAAACTTAGAAATAGTTTCAATGTATTGTTTTGGATTGTGTGATTTGCGATCAATAAATATTCCAAATAATGTTAAAGAGTTGAAATTTGGTTGTTTTCGATTTAATTATTATTTAAAAACAGTTATAATAACTGATAATTCCATGTTGACATCAATTGAAGCATATGCAATGTATGGCTGTATTGTGGAAACAATATTTTTGCCAAAAAATGTATAATTGTTTTGAAGGGTCAAGAACTTTAAAAACAATCACATGTAATCTATCTAATCCTACATTTTCTGTAATGGATGGAGTCTTATATAACAAAGATAAAACAACACTTATTAGCTTTCCAGCAAGTCACAGCACATCATTTGAAATTCCAGAAACAGTTACAATGATAGGTGTTTGTGCATTCATTAGCTCAGTGATTGAAAATGTAAAATTTCCACCAAAATTGAAAAAAATAAATGCATATGCTTTCGCAATGACAAATTTAAAAAACTTAACAATACCTGATACAGTTACATATATATCTGATGGAGCGTTCGCAAGTTGCCAACATTTAACTGAAGTTAAATTTGGTGCTGGAATGACATACATTTCATATGATTGTTTCAGGGACACAAGACTGACGAAAGTAGTAATTCCTGAGAATATCACATCAATTGGAGATTCTGCGTTTTCTTATTGTCCAAATCTGAAAGAAGTTGTATTGCCTTCAACAATAACAAGTCTTGGTGGTTCATGTTTCCCAACAAATGTAAACATTTCGTTCCCAAGCGATGCAAAACTATCTCTTGATGATCAACAAATTCTTTACGATCTCGACAAAGTTGTTTTAATCATGTGTCTTAAGAAGAGCACATCATACATCATTCCAGAAACAGTTTCAACAATTAAATCATCCGCGTTCAAAGATATGACCGATCTAACAAAAATTGAATTTCGATCAGGCACAACACTGAATACTATCGAATCCAATGCATTCTCCGGCTGCAGTAAACTATCATCAATTGAAATTCCTAATTCAGTCACATCATTTGGTGAGAAATCATTCTATAACTGTGCACAGATCAAGTCAGTCTTCTTCGGCAGCAAACTAACTAAGATATCAACACGATGTTTTGAAGGTTGTACATCTCTTGATACAGTCAGCTTCAGTCCATGTGACAGTCCTTGCACTATCGACTCATATGCGTTCAATGGATGCACATCACTGAGAACGCTCACACTTAGTGAAAACATTTATAGCATCGACATGTACTTCTTCAGCAACTGTGCATCTCTTGAAAGAGTCAACATTCCTTCAACACTCAAATACATTGGTATATATGCATTCTCGAATTGTATTATCTCACAAGTTACATTTTCTTCGCCGAGCTCAATGGCCAGTCTGAACAAGTACGCATTCAGCCAGTGCACACATCTTCGTGAGATTGTTGGCAACCCAGACACGATCGAGAACATCGAATCTAACTGCTTCGAGTCGACACAGATCACCTCATTTGATGTTCCTATATCAACTACATCAATCGGTAACTATGCATTCCGAGGATGCTCTGAGATGACAGTCTTCAGAATTCCATCTCGCTGCTTGCTCCAAACGATCGGCAACTACATCTTCGACGGCTGCGTCTCTCTGAGCAAGATTGAATGTCCAGACAGTGACTTCTTCGTCATCGACAACGGTGCTCTGTTCAACAAGGACAGAAGCAGCTTGATCTGCTTCCCTCCTGCATCTTCTATCACATTCTTCTGTTTCTCACAGAACGTGAGGAGTGTCTCATCTAGTGCATTCTTCGGCTGCAAGAGCCTTGTTGGCATCATGATCCCAGATGATTCTATCACGACTATTGGTCACTCAGCGTTTGCATACTGCACATCTCTCAAGTATATCAACATCCCTCTTTGTGTCAAGAGCATAGACCAGAATGTTTTCACAGGCTGCAACAGCCTTCACTGCGGTGTTGTTGTCCAGAACACTAGTATTTCATTCCGCTACTCTCTCGTCACAAACAGTGGTCTTAGTCTCTCATCGATGAAAGAATGTGGTCTTATCACATGCAAACATGTTAATTACCAGATACCTGTTTCGACTTCTTATCTATATGTATTTATTTTAATGTAAATTTTCATGTATAATTTTCATTCATTTCTATCTATAGATGTTTCGTGAAAATCGCCGGTTCCGGTGTTTCTTTTTATAATAATTGATATATTAGAATTGCATGATATAAGAGATCAAGTTTTCATAAGTTCGTCTTTGAGCTCAAAAGAGGAATATTTGTTGAATCTTGACAATAAAGTTTCATTATAATTTTAAAAAAAATCATTTTAAAATAATGATTTTTATTGATATGGAGATGCTGGATCAAGTGGAGCGGCATAAATTGGAGCTTGCTGATGTTGTTTAAAATGATTGAATAATATTTTCTACTGGAATTAAATCTGATAATTCCTAGGCGCGAAGCTTGTTAAAAATGATTATTTTTGATCCTAATGTTGAACTGAATTCGAATAATTAAGTTTGTTTATTCACAAAATGATGTTTTATAAATATTTATAATGATAATTTCAACGTCTTCGATCTACCAATCTTAGATTCTTATATGAAATAAATTCTTCACTAGATGTTTGTATTTGATTATTAAAATTTGGAACAGAACAATCATCTGTTTTATAATGATATAATAATGGATATAAAGTTTCAACTGATTCAAAAGAACTTGGATCGTCATATACAGTTTGAAAGATATAGTTACTATAAAAGTAGCAATTAACAACTGTTGGTTTTTGCGAAAATAAATGGGGAAAGCTATTTCCTATGAATGAACAATTTGAAAATATATTTGTTCCAGAACAGTAAATCATCCCATAAGTATTGGCTTTATATTCATTGTTTATATAATTACAATATGTAATGGTACAATTATCATTTAGAAATACATAATAAACATTAGAAGATGAATTTGATGCTGTTGTGAAATTAATAATTCCCCTTCCTGTTGGATCATAAAGATAATATCCAGCATATCTTTGAATTTCATGATGATATGATGTATTCATATTATTTATTTGGATATCACCATACTGATGATAAAGAGAAGTAAAATCTCCCCTGCATTGCAAAACTGAACATTCTAATGCATAATTTTTGTTGGTTTCACTAGATTCAATGTAATATGCGCATCCATTACGAGATGAAGTTGAAAATAAAATACAAACATGAACTAAGACAGATTCGGATTGCATGATACGGATCGATCCACCATTTTCTACGGAGCTGTTATTGTGAAATGTGCACGTTTCGATTAATACTTTGCTGCTATTTAAACAAATTGCTGAGCCCGTAGTGATGAAAGAAAATATCGAATTTTGAATGTAAATATTTCGATTGTCTATTGGTATAGAAATGTTAGTTTCTTGGAAATTTTCATATTCATTTATGCCAAAGTATTCATTAAAATCCTTTTGAAGCTCCATAATGCTTTGATATTTCATAAAATATAAGTACGATAATAAATTTTAGATAGTACATAAGCTTTTAACGCTTTAAACGACCATGAAAAAAAATTGTAAGTCAAAAATTTTTCAATGTCACTTTTTCAATTTTGTGTGATTTCAAATATTTTTATCATTTGACATTATTAATATCTCAATTAATAACTCTTTATGTGCATGTTTATTGTAAAACTGAATTCGACAAATTACACTAACTTCAGTTTTCAAACTCTTACTCAGGAAAAAAAAAGGCATGTCCTTCCCTCAAGAAGTAATCTGGCTACATATAATACAGACCAAATGATTCCAAAGGTTGAGATACATATTCAATATATGTATGTGAAAAATGTTTGTATGAGCGTCCAAGAAAAAAAAATCCTTCACTCATCAAAATGACAAGGAATGTCATGTTTCTTCATAATATTATTAGTTTCTAATAAAAAAATTCGGGCAACAAAATATTTAGGCATCTTATTCAGTGTTGTTAATTGCGATATCGTCGATCTTGTCATCAATGAACTTGTCGCTGATATTATTGACTATTTACTAGCTTGTACTTCTTCAGAAATCTTTACATGAAAAAATTTAGCATCAATCTTTGCAAACAGAAAATAAGCATGCAGAGATTAATTCAATAAGGAATTATGTAGTATAGTCGAAGTTGTTGTAAGATCGATCTGATGATACAAACTTAGAACAATCTAAATACTCGTCTGAGAGATTTGAATATATCTTACATGGTATTTGCATAACAATATTTATTTATGATGAAGATTTCTGTTTATAAATAAATGTTGAATTATCTAGAAAATTTAAGTTTTTGATGTAGTCATTGTTATTGCTGATGGTTTCGCATTGAATATAATTAAATATTATTGGAGAAACAACAATTGAGTTTAGCTTTCATATAAACAGTATTTGGATTTCTTTTGTTCGTATGACGCTTTAAAAATGCTTTTATTGCTCATTGTCTGTCGAAATTAGAGAATTCGAATATGTTTTCGGTTAAAAATGTGGATAAAATCGGTCCATCAACGATTCGTTTCCTTCTTTGATAATGGTTAAGCATTCGTACTTTCTGAAGCTGGTAATAATCATAATTTTAGTAATAATGATTTGCACTTTTTAGATTTTTTTCAGTAACTCTCTGAAAGTCATCGATCTTATTTATAAAATTAGGATTCAAAACGATTTCTCGGAAAGACAATATCGAGAATTGAAATCCATACTTTAAAAATAATGTTTATATTTAGTCACTTTTTGAAAAAGACAATTCAATCTCTCCCATTTCTATAGGGAATATCTTTTTGATATATTTTTATCGAAGTTAAATAAGCAGGCATATTTTGCAATTAATTCTAATAAATTAATATGGAAAAACTCTTCTTAATGCTGCAGTAACTCAAAATTATTGCAATCCTTTACAGGTTGAAAGATTTATATGAAACTCGATACAATGTTTTAGGTGAATAATTTACGCACTTCCGGTGTCGGAAAGATCAAAAATAAAAATCAATAAAACGATTTTTTTAGTCATAATTCAATTAAGGGTGCGCTTACCACTTTCTGACATTCTCTCAAATTTCTTGTTTAAGGTTTTATTTTCTATGCCTCTTCACACCCGTATTTCTCTTTTTGATAGAGTGTCAGAAAGTGGTAAGCGCACCCTTAAAGCAATTGAATATTTCGACTGATTTCATTGGAAATCCAATTAACTCCAATGAAATCTTTAAAATAAATTGTTTGTAACTCAACGTCTTCGACTAACATATCTTATTTTTCGTTTCTTTAAAGACAGAAATTCTCCACTAATTGTTTTATAAAAATATGTAGCAGAGCAATCGCCTGTTGTATAATGGGATAGTAATGAATCGAATGGTGAGATTGATTCAAAAGATGCTGAATTATCATTTTGTACAGTTTGAACAGTAACACCTTCGTTATCAAAGTAACAATTATCAACAGCTTGTGGTTTATTTAAAAATAAATAGGGTCCTTTGTTTCCGATGAATGAACAATTTGAATATATATCTGCATTATAGTTGAGAATTATTGTATCATCACTTCCTTTGCATTCGTTGTTTAAATAATTACATTTTGTAAAATTAAAATTAGATGTGGAAAATACTTCTGAAATAGAAGATGAATTTGATGCTGTTGTGAAATTAATATTTCCTCTTTCTGTTGGATCAATAATATAATATCTAGCATCTGAACCAATTTCATGATAAGATGTATTCATATGACTTACTTGGATATATCCTCCATAATGATAAAGAGAAGCACTTTTTCCACTGCATTGTGAAACTGAACATTCAAATGCATAACTTTTCTTTTTACTATACTGATCTGAATAAATGTAATATCCACATCCTATAGAATTAGAATTTGATGAAATAATTGATGAAAATAATAAACAAATTCGAACTAAGACGCTTTCAGAATCTTGGATACAGATTGATCCACCATCTTCTGTGGAGCTGTTATTGTAAAATGTGCATGATTCGAGTAATACTTTGTCGTTTGACCAAAGTTTAATTGCGGAGTTTTTCGAATGGAAAGAAAATACTGCATTATGAATGTAATAATTACCATCTCTACCTGCAATAGTTTGGTTACTTGTTTTATCAATAGGTACTTCTGTGCCATAATATTCGGCAAAACTCTGTTGAACCTGCATATTGATTATTGATAGGAATTATGACATTCAATTTAAATTTCAACAACGTTAAAATCTTATGAAAATTGTGAACATATGTCATATTCAAATTTTCAGATTCTAAAGAAAAAGTTGGTGGATTATTTAGGATTGAATTAACTTAAAATTTTTATAATTCATATTTGAAGTAATGAAAAAATTGCGGAAATAAAAAGATTTCTTGAAAATATTTCGTTATTGCTTAAAACTTAAAAATAAGCTAATTACGGAATAGACTTATAAATGTAACATATATTTACGATAGTTAAATTTCTAAAAATAACATATTATAAAAACAATAGTTCTAAAAAAAATAATTTTCCAATTTTGATCATGGGCATATAATATACACATATTAGTTAATTTATTGGTAAAGTATTGAAGAAAATAGAAAAGGCAATATTATTCTGTTTGCATGCACATTATTATTTTAATTACATTCGATTTTTTAACGATACTACATGTGTTTTCTGATAATAAATTGTTTGTGCGACTTGAAGCTAGTACAAAACTTTTTTCTTAATTTACTCCCAAAATGAGAACAAAGCACATCAAATCTACCAAACGTTTAAGAGTATATTATCATCATCTAACTAATATATATATATGGAAACTACAAATGAAATAAAACTAGTGAAATATTAATTTTTTTTTAATAGGTTTATCATATGTATTGCCTTTTAAATCAACATATTTATGTATGAAAATATATATTAATAAATGTTGGTTGCTTTTAATGTTTCTAAGCTTGAAATCTAAATTAAAATTCGTCAAAAAATTAAATTTAATAAATAATTGTGAAATAAATTGCATTGACTCATATATCCACCAATGAATATAGCGATTTAGTACTTCAATTAGATATGAGAAATTTTCAAAATTATTAAAAAATAAGAAGAAATATCAATTTTCTATTGAAATCTGATTTATTGAGAAAATTGGGAATTATAATCATGATTCAGAATTATAACAGATGCTAATATGTACAATTTTACTTTTATTCGATCTATTTTTTATTGGTTTGTTATTTTAAATTAAAGAATTTTTTAATTTTTCGACGGTATTCTGACATTGATATCGAGATACAATCGGTTAAAGTTAACTTAATTAGTTTTTTTATTATCGTATCGTCAAAAATTTTTCATAAAAAATTCACATTTTATAATGTCGAATCCAAAAGCAGAAGGATTAATAGCAGAAGGTCAGAAAGCACTTAAGAAGTTTTTCGGTTCAAAGAAGGACAAAGCTTACGATGCTTCTGATAAGTTTTGCCATGCTGCGCGTTTATATAAAATAGATCGTAATTTTGAAAAGGCTGGCGAGTGTTTCCTTATGGCAGCTGATGCATTACACAATGTAGGCGATGATAACTCAGCATCGAGCCATTATATCGATTCTACTCTTATGTTTTTCAAAGTTCAAGCAATGACAGCCAAAGCGCACGAAGCATTAGATAAAGCGGTTGATATTTTATGCACTCTTGACTCCCCAGCTAAATCTGCACAGTTAATTGTCAAATCATGCGAATTACTCGAAAAAGAACAAGCTTATGATTTAGCTATACAAGCATACAATAAGGCACTCGGCTTACTTACAGATATGCCAGACGTTTCAGCACTTCAGGCTTCTATTCATGAAAAGAAAGCTTATCTTTTCTGTGAAAAGAGGAATTACAACGAAGCAGCAAAGTCTTTCACAGAAGCAGCTACTCTTCGCAATCAAATCCCTCTAACACAGACTTCAGCTCAAAGTACGTTTGTTGTCGCTGAATTATGCCGTTTGGCTGCTGGAGACCTTCAAGGAGCAATTAAGGAATACGATAATATCGTTTACCAGTGTCCATCCATCAAAGTTAACTTCGAAGGAAGATATTTCAACGCAATTATGGACGCTGCTCAAAATACTCCAGAAAAATTACCGGAAGCTATCAAGGCATACAAGGATACGCACGAAAATGCTAAATGGATGGTTGATATCTTGAATTTAATTCAAAATCCAGATGAACGCGAAATGTTGTAAAAAATAAACATTGATATTAATACTGTCATCAAATCAAATACATTTTTACTTTTTCTTCCTTAGTAAACTATGTTTTTTCTAAGATTTCGAATATTTATTCCAATTTTGAGTTAATTTGATTAACCGCGATATATGTATTCATCGTTTTATCTTATAAGAATGCATTAGCCAAGGATATTGAACTCCAATTCCATTAAAACAAAATTTGAATAAATCAATCTTTCTGCCAACATTCTCTGAAATTAGTGAAATTGCATACCCATATCTAAAATAAACAAAGATATCTAACTATAGAGTGAATGACTAATCCAATTTTTCGAAATTGATTTCATAAATTTTCATTTGTTAATTGATTGATATTCATATAAGTTTTGTAATTATATTTCTGTTTTTCAAACTTCCAAAAGTATTTAATATGATGAAATTTGGTCACGTAAAGCTAAAATACGGTTTTGACATCACCCTTCAATGATTTCCTTATTCTTTTGCGGAGTTAGTTGCAGAGATTCGACCAATCTTTATGCATCTCAACAAGGCACAGGTGATTGTTTCACATCAGAGTGTTCTTTTAACGAAGCGATGTTGACACTTCGCTGTGCAGATGTAATTCATTTAAAGGACAAAATAGTATATCCACCATCATATCCGTCAGAATTTTCCGATTTAATTGAGAACGCCGCTCAATCAAATGTCACACTTATGGCACGTGAAGAAGGAACTGTAATTGATGGCAGCTTTTTAACAGGCGGTGTTATGTATTATCTTGAAAACCAACGCCGTTTCACATGGTGCAAGATGGTTGGTTTTACATTCCGTAATTTCCAGAAATTGATTATGTCTCGTCAACACACATGGTCTGTTTATCCAATGATGATTTTCCAAGATTGCACATTCGAAGATTCAACAGCAGACTTATTCTCATGCTCTGGCGGTGTTTGGGTTTTCATAAACTGCAATTTCAAGAATCTTAAGGGCAAACCATTCAAGGCTCTCTCAGAAGCTCAAGTAGAATTTATTGACTGCCAATTCGAAAATACTTCTTCAATCTTCGGCTACGGTGCTGATATGATGTTCAGAAATTGCATTTTCAAGGACAGTATCGGCCAGCGTGGTGGCTCAATCTATGCTTCTAAGTCCACACTCTACGTTAATAAATGCAAATTCATCAATACTCGTGCTGCTTTATACGGTGGCGCAATTTACATCAGAGATTCAAGAGAAGTCTACGAAAGTGAGATCTCTAACTCTTGCTTCCTCAATACACAAGCTAAAAATGGTACTGCGATATACGGATATCTCTCATTTTTGACAGTCCACGATAACGTGTTCTCTTCACAAAACGACAGACAACAGACAGTCTTCAACTTCGGAGAAGAAGTTAAAATGAGCAATAACAACTTCGGAGGTGACGCAGAAGCGTGCATTCGCAAACACGAGCCTCTGAACGAGCCAGACCTTTACTACCCATGCGATACTTACCAGAACCACCAGTTCGATGACGCCCATGGAAACTTCTTCATGGACTTCTCGAACCAGGACGATCCTCTCGAAGAAATTATTAACTAAACTTGATATTCTCATTTTGTTCAAGTACATCATTTTAAAGATACATTATATGATTAATTATTTTATAATTTTTTTTCAATCTTTCAAATAAAATGTTAATCTAACATTTCTTTTTCAATAAAAGATGAAGCCAAATAGAGTGCTGATGATGTGCTAATAAATGCTTGTTTGAAAGGAATTTTTTTTAATGGGAAATTGATTTCCCTGCTAGATATCAACTACAGCATTATTCGTATGAAACAACACTCAGAAATACGTATTGAAAAAAATCAATCAGTCAGCAGCTCTTTTTAGCACAGACATTAATCAGGTAGAAATGGGAATTATTACATTCATGATGCAGTATTTTCGATTCTTTTCTAGCACATTATACACCAGGTGGTTGCTCTGCAACATATTTTTATAATAAAAATATAAATAACATCAAAAACATTGTTAACAATGCTTCTAAAACTTCATATGTTGCAGTAAATATCTCTGTATTAATACATTCAATGCACAAGTCTTATATCAAACTTTCCAAATGCATCACTTTTGCTACAGATGTCTATTCATTATAGATCCACTTTAATTTCATGGTAAATTAGAGATACTCATAAGTAATCATACTGAAAATAAGTAAGTTAAATAAAAATTAGGTGGGTGCTTCAAAAGATTCTTATAAATATTCTTAAGACTAATTTTATTTTCAATTATAAAGTTAACAAACAGACAATCCATAAAATAATCAATAATATGGCAAAAGATTCATTGCGGAAGTGTAATATTTTGAGATAGAAGTAAGTTATGATGAGAAAGATTAATCACGTCTTCTGATGTGAGATTAGGAGTAACTGAGTTATTCTTCTTCTTATCATCTTCAATTATATCAAGAATGATCTTTGTCCATACTTTAAAATCTTCCTGAGAGATTGTTTTTCTTTTTGTTTCTAAAATTGATACTTTGTATTGTAATTCTTGCTGAATAAATGAGTAAGTGATAATAGAAGCTGATATTCCTTTGACTAATTTCGGAATTTTATATTTTTCTTCTTCTGATGCATTTTTCATATTTGTAAACTCTGTAAAACTAATATCATCGCTATTTTTGCTAGTGTCTGTTAATGAAATCGTGTTAAAAACGTAAATTGATTTTGGAGAAATTGTATCTATTAAAAGCTGAGCTAATTCTTGATGACATACAGCATAATTTGAAAAGTTGACTAATGTAATATCGCCAATTTTAAAAACTTCATTCCTAAATGAACGTAAAAACATCAATTTTGGTTCTATTCCATTAGCATATTCAATAGGATTTGATATATCACTAATATCGGCTAAGAAAAATCCAATTGGATTTAACTCATTTGTAATTGCTGAAAATAATGCCGAAGACTCTGTTGAAACAGCGCAAAGGCATATACTACTTTTACAGTCTTTTCCTATATACTTAATACTTTCAAAACTATGATCTTCGCTTGATATGTCTACGGCAGTAAATACTGATGAACTCATTCCTTGAACAAATGATTTTGACAAAGTGATTAGTTTTACAATACATCTTCTAATAAGTTATATCGATGTTAGTAATTGATCCGAATTTGAGTTTTCATTACAAATTTTATTATTCTTCAACATTATATGAATGAGAAGATTAAAATGAATTAAATATGAAGTGTTAAGTTTATTAAGCTCATTGTAAGGTCTCAATCAGTATAATTTGTCCAAGAATATTTCTTATCTTTATATAAAATAGCATAAATCAATTTTGTTGGGACCAATTTAACATAACCATTGCATTAACTATCTTTTTTATTCATGTAAAGAAAGTGCCCGTTTACAAATTTTTAGAATTTGATGAGAAACTCACAACACCGCTGTCGTCAGTTTCCTCCTCAAGTATCTAAAGAGGAGCTTCTTCAACGAACACGTCAAACACTAACAGAGAAAGGTGTTGACTATGTTTCTCAATCTAAATACGTTGTTAAAATTGCAGAAGAAGTTGTTGGCTTTGATGAACCTATTTTCTCATCAATTCAACCAGAAATTAAAATTCGCGACTCAAATGCATGGAATCAAGCATATTCGATCATTATGACCTTTTTACAAGAAAATGGCATGGAACAAACAATCAATGCAATAGATATCGAATTACAAGGACAACAAATACCAGATGGAGATCCAAATACAAAAGCAGAAGATTTTCTTAAACCATTATTAAAGATCTCTAACCAATTAAAGCGCAAAACATTTTCTGCAAGAGTTGCAGAGTTTACAGGAAAATATTCACAGCGTCGTGCTGCTAAGAAATCAGGTGCTACTCAAAATATTCAGAATGAACAAACATATCAGCCCCCACAAACACAAAAGAGACCAACTTCAAAAGCCCCAGCTCAAACAAAACCAGAACCATCTAGAACTCAGCCAGTTTCCAACAAACCAGCTCCAGAGCCAGTTAGAACTTCACAGCCACAACCAGCTCCTACAAGACGCGAAGCACCGCAGCAGCAGCAACAGAGAAAGGTAGAAGAACAGCCAGCAAGGCAGTCATTCTTAAATCAGAATTCCAAACCACAGCCAGCTACTCAGAAACGCGAAGATACTACAAATAACAGACTAGCTACACAACCACAACCAGCACCAGCCAAAAGAAATCCAAGTCCTCCAATGTCCCCGAAGATTGCAGATCAGAAGAAGAAAAGTCCATGGGATGCTGTTCCAATGGCCGAGCCACCTACACAGCATGCCAACTCGATGATGGATGATCTCGAGGAAGAGGAAGAAGAGGAAGATATCCCAATAGTTCCGAAACAATTACCTGTAATTAAAAGAAATCAGCCTCCTCAAAAGAAATCTACATTTGATAGTGTATCATTTAGTGACAGATCTGATTCAGGAGCTCCTCCTTCACCACCATCAAAGAATACAAAGCCACAAGCAGCTAAAAGTGGTTGGGATGCTCCTGCATTTGAAGAAGTCGAAGATGTTGTTTCAGATGTAGTAGATGGTGAAGAAATAGACATCGATGATGGAAATAATCAGGAAGAAGAGGATCTTGAATTTGGTGAAGAAGATTTTGACTTTGAAATTTAATAAAATGTTTCTCGTATTTATATTTTATTTTAGTATATGCAAAACGATTTTTAAAACAAGTTAAATCTATTCCTCAATCTAACTATAGATATTTTCAGAATAAAAAAAAAACTCATCATAAGTTTAATGTATCCATAAACAATATTCCAAAAATAAGGACCTTAACATGTGGAGATTCTAAATTGTTCATTATTACGGCTTGAATTTTTGGCAGAATAACGAAAAATGAAGGATAAAAAAAGGAGTGATTCAATTTTGACTTTATCCCACTCGTCTGATCGTCAAATTTGGAGTGATTTTAGATAACAGGATCCAGAACATCATCTTTGTTTTTTTCTTGAATTGTTTGAATTTTTTTTGTAAACTCAAAAATTCAAAGAGATTTTTGCAATTAATAACTAACATATTTTCCTTATATCATATGGAATCCAATTTTTGTAAAATTTCTTCATTAATGCAGGAAGATGCGAAAAACCTGGGATTAGATTACTCAGGTTGTAATGTTGTCTTCCTTGCAGATCAAAATACATCATTTACTAAGGATTATAAGCCCACTGTTTCTAATTTTCCGGCTATTTCTCCATTGCCAATTCCGTCAGAATTTCCTTCTTATCCAGATTACGAGATTGGAGCGAGAAACTGGGCTAAAGAGATCAAAAAGGCAAGAAACAATCATTTTATACTACCACTTCCTACATCTTTGTTCTATTCACGACCTCCGGTACGACTTCCTAGGGAAATAAGTCAATCATACAAGTTTACTTCCAAGAAAAACCCAAAACTACTCTTATCAAAACAGAATTTAGATGAAATCTTTACTACATGCATAACTGAAAAATTAATATTACCAGATCGAGAATTTAAAACGCCATTACCAAAATCTCATCAAACTCCAACTATAGGAGACTATATTACAGCAGAACCTCCTTGGAATACAATATGTTATCCGCAAGAACCAAAACCAACAATGTTCAAAACATTCGAGGATTACAAAAACGCATTGACAAACTGGACAAACTATCTCAAGAAAATGAAACTACCTACACATCCTAAAGACTTAAACTTCGAAACTCCAAATTCATTAGATTATAAAGAAATTATTCAGCCACAACGTCAATCTCTTCAATGTCCAGATTGTGAATTCAAACCACAGACTATACGCGTTATTCGTGAGACAATTAAATCACTCAGAGAAGCATATACAAATAAATTTGCCATTTGCCCAGAATATCATACAGACAATTGGCGTAGAGTATTCAATTATACAAAGAAGAATTGTATTCCGTCACAAATTGATGAATTAATCTTCTTATTAGAGAAATGGAAAGATTATGTTTTAGAAATCATCAATTTTGGACCGACAGGTGCCACATTTAAACCGACACCGACAGACTATATAGAGCAAGGGCAAACATATCAAGGCGATCAATCGATGACGAAAGAAGAAATAATTCATTCAATAATTTTATCGGATTACTCGCTGAAATCCATCAGAATTACAACGGAGAAGAATATAAAACTCTTTGATTTCATGTATTTCCCCGTTCTCCTTAAGATTTGCGAAGATTGTACTTCAACTGTCGTTGCTTCCAAAATTTTATATTTTACAGACGCTTTTCTTACTTCCATGGCTTCAGAGAATTATTTTGACCTACTATTGTCCAATCCTTCCTTCTTAAAAGTTTTATGTAATTTTATTGGAAGGTTTAACTTCATTCCCCGTGTATCTCCCATCTGTTATTCACTTCCTTTATACGTGGAATCGAAATTTGCGCGTTCTTACCAAATGATTGTCACTTCCGCCCTATTATACACGATTCACGAGTACGTAAACGAGCAGAATGAAGTTATTTCACAAATAATAACTCATCAGTTTTACGATACAGCCAGAGAAATAAGATACGATCAATCTGCCATTATAAATGCTTTCAAAAAGAGCAAAGAAGAGCGTGCACGAGCCATGGACATCATTATCCTTTGTTTAACGATACCGTACAGGCCATTTCAAGTTGCAATTTTCAGTCCAGCGCCGATTATTGTATTTTCCATGTTACTTGAGAGCGAATTGGACGACAACGAAGAGTATGTGAACCGAATCATGAATATGTTCATATATAGCGATGCGTTGAGAGGCTTATCTCAGGAACTTTTGCAATTTGATTTATTTATGGTGTCAAAGAACCCAAAATTGCTTGTTCCATTAGTCAGATTCTGCTTAAAGTACCTTTACCAGCTGAATTACCCCGTTATAACCAATTCCCAGCTTCAATCTATGATCAAATGTTTCAGTTCTGCAATGGAACCAACATGTTACGTGATATTGCATGACTTAGTACCAATATTCCTCAAAGACAGTCTCTTTTTAGAGCGGAATGACGAGGAATTCAAGAAAAGTCGTACAACAATCATGCAACAAATTGTTTCCATAGTTTGCCAATCCGATGTTTCGATAAGTAACTGCTTATTCGATTCCCTGGCACTTCTTCTTTTCGAGGGAACCACTTTTGCGCCTTCAAACCAGTTCTGGATGGTGTTTCTCGCTGGTTTAGTAAGAGAAGATAATTCTTGTAAATCATGTTGGCACTTTTTGACAAAAATTTTTCTTTTGAATATGACAAGTTTGTTACCTGAGTTCTTCCAGAACCAGATGACATCAATATTCAAGAGTAGACCATACGAATACTGCGTTGAAGTACTTAAATTCATTTCTGCTGTTTCTAATTGCGCGAGTGCCAATGTTTTGGAGAAATGGCTGATGATAAGTGAAAATAACATTCGCAGCGCATTCCAGCAGATTTACGATATTGTTCAGAAGGAGAAATTCAACGCAAGTGGACTTTCCGCTTATTCCAAAATCATAACTTCTACTGCAGGAAAAGGACTGATCGAAATTGTTTGTGGAGATCAGTTCAGTTTCCTAACAGATTAAGTATATATTTTTTATTTTTATTTGTATTGTTTTATTTCTAAAGTATTCATTTTTATAAAAAGCAAACATTTAAGATCGATGAAAAAATGATCGTTTTTAAAAAACCGCCGTTTGAGAGGAAAATTGAGAGCCCCGATGTATACTTTTTGACATTGTCAAAAACTTTGAAAGGACCAAAAAAAATTTTAGTGTCAGAAAGTTTACAAACTGCAGTTTTTAATTTCCGCAATTTTTTTGGCGATCTTACTATTTGCATTTTTTAAATTTTGATGCAAAATGAAGGGAAGTTCATCCTTATATTTGATGCATCTCTTTTCTTCTAAACTAAACACAATCTAATTTTCTTCCATAGTATGCATTCATTAAAATTCATCGATGAAAATATCAGTAAATGAAAGAGAAGTTCGATTGTTTCTTATGTATAAAAATTATTATTCTGCACCATGTGAAATAAGAAGTTCAACTGTTTCTTTATTTTTATTCATTGCTGCAATATGAAGAGCGGTTCTACCATATTGATCTATTTCACTAATATTTGCACCATGTGAAATAAGAAGTTCGACTGTTTCTTTACCATTATTATTCATTGCTGCAAGGTGAAGAGCGGTTCGACCATATTGATCTATTTCATTAATATTTGCACCATGTGAAATAAGGAATTCGGCTATTTCTTTACCTTTATTATTCATTGCTGCAAGGTGAAGAGCAGTAAATGAAAGAGAAGTTCGATTGTTTCTTATGTATAAAAATTATTATTCTGCACCATGTGAAATAAGAAGTTCAACTGTTTCTTTATTTTTATTCATTGCTGCAATATGAAGAGCGGTTCTACCATATTGATCTATTTCATTAATATTTGCACCATGTGAAATAAGAAGTTCGACTATTTCTTTTCTACTATTCTTTAATGCTGCACAATGAAGAGCGGTTTGAAAAGATTTATTTGTTTCATTAATATTTGCACCATGTGAAATAAGAAGTTCGACTATTTCTTTTCTACTATTCTTTAATGCTGCATAATTAAGAGCGGTGTCTCCATTTTGATCTTTTTCATTGATATTTGCACCATGTGAAAGAAGAAGTTCTGTAATTTCTTTGTTATTATAAAATGCTGCAATAATAAGAGCAGTTTGTCCATATTCATTATTTTTATTGATATTTACACCAATTGAAATGAAATAAGCGCAAAGGGGTAATATGCAAAAACTTGCTGAATAAACAAAGCATTTGTTAAAATCATTAGTTTGATCATAATAAACTAAGAGTGCATCAAGATTATTATAAGTTCTACACTGATCTAAATCGATGTTTATTTTGTATTCATTCATCAAGAACGTAACAAAATCAATGTTGTGAGAAATAATTGCATATCGCATGCATTCTTTATTTGGTTTTTGATGTTTCAAACATTCACTCATGATCTCTTGATTTCCTCCTAAAAATGAAAATTCTAGACATGTTTCAGTTATTTCTGAGTTAAATTTTGTTCTTAAAAACTTGAAACAATCAACAGCCCCGTGGTAACAACATAATTCAAGTAATGAATATCCTTTTTTAGAAAATGGATATACTGTATTAGAAAATGGATATAATCTGCATGCAAGTCTTTTATTTTTATCAAATCCATCTCTTTCAGTGAATGAAATGAAATTTTCTAAGTCATTATACATAATTGCTCTGTAAATTGTATTTTCTGAATGAATTTCGAGGTTTTCTGGTGTATTTTTTTCAAATTTGCCTAATATAATTTCATATTCTTTGTAAAACAGGAATTTCGGGATGAAATCGATAGGGCCGAGTTCTGTTACCTTATAATCATCAGATATTAGTTTGGCAAGATATAAATATGACTTTGTATAGCGATTATTATACGGAATGATATTCAAAATGTCTTTCATTATCATTTGGGGAGGAAATTTATTTGAGTCAATCAATTCTGTTTTGATTATTTTGTAAATTGATTTTAATTCTTCTTCTTTTTCCATTTTAAGCTGATACAACGCATTATATGAATCGATATAATATTTACAGATACTTCGCAATTCACTGTATTTGTTTGGGTGAATGTCTTGATTAGACATGAAAAAATATAAAAGTCGTATATCTATATTTTATTATATAAAAATCTTAAAAATTCATCTAGAGAAAAGGAGGCTATGCTATACTTGTGGAAAATAATAACCACAAAGATTTTGGATTAAGTCTATAGGTATAAAATGACACAATGACAATAGTAAAGTCGAAAACAATAATGTGTTCATCAATAAACTTATATTGTCGGCTTAACTTCCGTATTTATGTCAATTATGTAATATTCCTTAAAAAGTATCTCAAAAATGAATTAGAATCGCTGTGAGTGATTTACATAAAAGTACTTTTACTTATCCACTAGCACCTGAATGACCTAAGAACTTAGGATTATCTGAATTATAAGTATTAGATATGGTTTTGTTCCACATATAACAAATATTCTACTAAAAGCTTCTATGTTGAATCATAGAAACAATTTGCATATTCTATACTACAACATATAAATCAAATTTGGTTTTCATTAAAGGATTTCGATTGTGTATCACAAACTTTAACGTATTCATTTGACGTATTTCGATTGCGTAAAATATATGTTTAATATGCCAAATGAATATGTTAAAGTCTGTGATAAAAAATAATTTTTTTAAATCTAGAATAAATAAGTTTTTAATTTTAACATCTGAGGTTGAAATTAAAGTTGAAGAGCATATACACATAAAAACAAGCTGGAGAAAGTAGAAGAAAACGATTTTCTTCGTTTCTAACTTACTTTTGTAATCCTTTAGCATCTTCTGCCTTCCATTCAGCAACTCTAGCTTGGAATTGCTTAGATGCAAGTGATTCAGAAATGTCTAATAATCTTTCCATGTAATCATCAACGCTACCAATGTCAGAATCATTCTTTGGAAGACCAGCTGATCCACACTCTTTGGTTATTGTATCTATTGTTAACTTCATGTTGTTTTCTTCGAGAAACTGAAGAACAAGTTGGTAAACTATATTCCATGCTTGATTTTTATAATCTGTATGATGTGTATTTGGCTGCAATGTAAAGAATTTAGGATCTTTCATTCCTACAACGAGATTTGCAGCTTCAAGATAATATTGCGCTTTGTAATGGTTATCAGCGCCATTATCGTTCATATATTTAGTTGTTTTATCTTTTAATTCCTGCTGTGATAGCCTCTTTGGAAATCTACGAGCTGGTGGTATCTTTGCGCTCATTTTTCGATAATTTTTTTTATAAACGTCAGATGTTTTGATAAGAATAATCGTTCATCAAAAAATAACTAAAGAAATATAACAACAACACAATAAAATTTATTTTTCAAGCACAAACATTGCATTTATTGTTAAATTATTTGAATTTTTTGAGCAAATTTATGAATTTATTAAGCTTTTATATGGAACATTTTATCAATGTGAGGAAATTTATTGGAATTTGTTCATAAAAATTTGATATTAAATGAGAAATTTTAAAAAATCAAATAAATATCGAAAAATTATATTTATTACACAACATCATAAATACATATTACTTCGGCGGCAATGGCTGATTAGTATTAGTGAAAATGGAGAAAATAGTAGGCGGGAAGTAGATTGGCTGAGGATTCTTCTTCAGTTTGATCGTAGAAATCGGTTTCTTAGGTGTAGAACTTGGCTGTGACTGTATAATTGGCTGCTGGTTGAAAGATGATGAATTTTCTTTCTTATCTGGTCCAGAATCCCACATTTTGATACGATCATCGAGAACACAATTAATTCTGGCGACATCAGGTGAAGGATCAAGTGTCAAATCTGGATTTGCGACTAATAAAATATTTTTCTGCGCTTCGAGATGTTCTTCTTCAGAAAGAGCCTTAGCTCCAAAGGAAAGAATAACATCTTGACCTATTGTAAGTGGATATGTATATGTTCTTTGAGGTTCAAAGCGATAATCTGTAATTCTGACTATTATTGAGCCATCTGTCCATTGTATTTTGCCGAATGTATTAAAAAGTTGAAGCAACTCCTCAGATATGCATCCTGTTTCCGAGCATCGTATTAATTCACGTGATTTTGTATTATATTGGAAAGTTCTAGGATTAGAGCCATCTCCAAGTGCTAAAGTAAACACTTTGGGATGAAACTCAAAATTAAATGATACATTAAAGTCTTCAAATAATTTATTTGGCAAATTTAACATATCAAAACGATCATCATGAAAAATTGAGATGAGAAAACCTAAGTTTTTCGAATGCCCTTGCTGTAAATTTCTTTGCATTTGTGTTTTGTGCCTTTGTACACCTAATAACAAAGATTGGAGCGTTTGAGAATAAAAATTCTCTTCTATTCCTGGCAAGTTGTTTCTGTTTTCGTGGATGAAAGAGTTTTGCGTAGCTTCATCATCTTTCATTGGCGAAAGAAAGAAATGGAATCTTTTTCCCTCCATCACTACTAAACGACGATTATTTTGTAAATTATTGCGGGAAAAAATTGGATGAAATTATTTGGGTTGGCAAACATCGTAATAGAAAATGCAAGGAATCTATTTTTATTTTGATTCATTTAATTTCATATCTAATCCGATTGAATAACATCATTATTTAGCTTCTCAAACCACAGAACATTTATCAATATAATTTCCAAATCATTCATATATCACTTATAAACAAATGTGCATCAATATTTTTGGAATTCAATTATCTTAAGGGTGCGCCCGGGAGGATCATGTAAACTTCAGAATTTAGAACCTTAATTTTTAAGCAATAACTTGGTACCTAAATAGGTAGGAAAACTCTAAAAATATCAAAAAATACAACTTGGCTCCATAATAATCCTGTCATGGTGGCTGTTTGTATCCCCTAGTATTTTCCTCTTGAATCTCTTTTTCTGTCGAAATTAAATTCAAATCTCAGAAGTAGAAGTGAATAATCGACTTATTACTGCTATTATACGAATAAATAAATTCATTATATTATTTTTATTTACATAATATCTGTTTGAAGTCCATAATTCTATAAATTTTTCTTCAAAAACATTACAATCTTGATAGTTTTGATACTGTTTAATAGGTTTTTGGCACCTTATTTAGTATTTACTACGTATAGAGTCGATCTGAACTTAATTTTCGGAAATTTAAAATATTTATTATAAGTAAAATCTGATTTGAAATTTATGTTTAACTACTCATATCTTGCATTATCCTGAGTAGCTTTTGTAAAAATTCATCAAAAAAGATTTTAACGTGCTTTAATTTTTATTTTTTAAAATAATGCATATTATTATATAACTAGCATATTTACAAATTTTAGTGCTTTCAAAAATTTAATCCTCCTCCTCTCAAATAAACGTACATCCGGGTGGCCTGTTTTTTGCAAAAAATAAAATTTCATTTTTTATGCTTAAAAAGTCAGAATTTTTATTTGCTTCTGGGATATATGATGGCTATATCAGATGCCCATTCTTTTTGATACTCAACATTAAACATAAAACTTAGCCGTTAAGGCTCTTCTGAAAATATTTTTTTTCGAAAAATTTGCGAAAAAAATCAAAAAATTTAAATATAGATCCGTATTTTTCCCAAGTGAGCGGGGTATCTCCAATCCCAGCCCTATCGTCCTCCCAGTGTCAGTTTTCAATATAAAATCCAAATTTTTTTTGAAAATAAAAATTTCGAGAAATTTTTCTGATTTTTTTTCTTTGATTTCAATAATTCAAAATAAATTTGGGAGTAAAAAGACACTATTTAATGAAATTCATATGAGTGAATGTGGATAAATACTCTCAAAACATACAATTTATCTATTTTTTCTTTATATTATCAACTAATTAGTGATAATTTTTTTTGAATCAGATTTTTTTTTCATTAAAAACATAATATATAACACAACAATGATGCACACATACGTATCTACACATCAAAATATAAAGCTTGTTTTGGTCTGGGCATCCCAACCCAAAATTCTTTAAAAATTGAATAAAATTGAATACTTGGGGCTGGGATACCCATCCCAAAACCGAATTGAATTTTTTGAATTAAAGAATATATTTATGTATTTATAATATACATGTGATGTCTATAAAAAATACTAAATTCTAAAAAAAATTCAATTTATTCAAAACGTATACTAAGTGATCACTTCATTAGTAGGATCAGCAATCCTACTAAATGGTGAGAACGCCACTAACTAAAAAGGGAGTCCTTGGAGCTCTTGATCTCTTGTCAGTAGAGTTCATAATGAGGCATGGCATCTACTGATTAGAGATCAGAGCAATCCTACCTTACCTTCAGGAGCTACAAAGCTCCTAATCGTTACGAGAGGGAGCCTTGGAGCTCCTGAAGCTCATCAGCAGAGGCTATTTACCATTTGGGCCTCTTCTGATGAAAGATGCGAAACACGTCTACGAACCAGGAGCTTCAAAGCTTCTAATCCTTACTAAAGGGAGCTTTGGAGCTCCTGAGTCTCCATCAACAGAGTCCCAGATGGTAAATGTCCTTTGCTGATGAAAGATGCGAAGCACATCTACGAACCAGGAGCTCCAAAGCTCCTATTCCTTACGAAAGGGAGCTTTGGAGCTCCTGAAACTCCTTTTACTATAAAATATGAAAGTTTTCTTCTGAGGTTCTCATCAAATCTAAGACTTCAGAAGAAAGCTGTCCTATCAATGTATACTTACACTCTCATGGACTACAAGTGTACAATTTTAAGGCAGAGATTATCCGAGGCCTCTCATCAAATGAGGGACCTCGGATAATCTCTACCTTAAGTAGTCAAATAACTTTTCTCACTATTTAGGAACAAAAGAACAAGAGTTGGAGTACTTTAAGGCAAGATTCTTCCGAAATCTCTCATCGAATGAGAGACTTCGGAAGGACCTTGCCAAATCCTTGAACGCCAATATCCTTGGAACTGAGCTAGAACCAGGGAGAAGTAGCATACTATAGAGCACGATGGTAATCTCGGAAATGCTTATATCGCCCCAAGCACAATATTTAAGAAGTCTAACTCATATATACAAGAAGTCAGGCTGAATAGATATTGTGCATATGGTTTGCAGAACTCTCATGATATTTAAAATTCATGTTATCCCAAAAAGGTGACACTTTGGGTGTATCGTCCATCCCAGGGATGCAAAAATCACATCACCTTGGATCTATAATTTAAAAATCCCCGAATCTGCAGGGATTTTAAAAAATTCTTTTTAGTAAAACTTAAGGATATTGTATCAGATATATTGGTATGGGCAAATTCAATTTTAATCCAATATTCATCGAGATATTAAGTTAACGAAGCATTCAAAATTGAGAGGGTAATCCTCCTCCTCTCAAATAAACGTACATGCGGGTGCACCCTTAACCATTTCTCTTGCAATTTACATTTGTAACCTATTAATCCCCAATGCAATAATGTGACTAGTGTTATTTTTGTCTTATGATATGGTATGTTCAACATTTTGATAGGATTTTAAAAAATTCATCGGATGTTATATATTCCATCGTAATCAAGATATTTCATTGTCGCGAAGCTCACACATATTTATCTCACTTAGAATGATAGCTTCATTTTGATTTAAAAATTGCATTTTTAATGACAAATGTTTAGAAACACATATTTTATATACCAATCATATGCATTTACATAAAAATCTTTAAAATTTTTTAAATAAAATATCTATTTATCTATTATCTAATAGGAATTAAAATACCGAACAGTTCTAAAGCACAAATACTGAATTCGTACTGGTTGGTCATTGACTTTGTCGTATTATTCTCAATCATCGTCCATCTAAAGTAAGAATAAGGTTTTGTCTTCTTCATATCGAAGTAAACGAGAGGTGTGGCCATGTTCATCTTATTTGTCTTTTGTTCGTTGACTTTGAACCACGTTTCATTGTCATTTGATCCTTCAACCTTCCAAACTCTTGGCTGGTGGCTATTTCTATTCCTCGCGCATGAGCCAAGTGTATAGCCAGTCATTTCGAGTCGGTGGTTGTTAAATTTGACGGTTAACCAAGCATCTTTCTTTTGGAAGCCGTTTCCGCTGTAAGTATCCCACCATGATGAGAACAGATCATTGAAATTAAATATCTGAAGGATTCTGTTGCATTTGTTGCCTCCTCCTGTAACATAAATTAATGTCTTCCAAGAATCAGGGTATTGGAGCTTCAAATATGTTACAACACCAACAAGTTCATTCGGATACTCATCAACGATTGTACCAATTACGTTTGTTTGGTATTCGAGTATTTTTGTTCCGGCTGGATATTTCGGCTGCGCTGCTGCAGCTTGTTGAGCTTGTAACTGTTGCTGTTGTGCGGCTTCGGCTTCGGCAGCTTCTTGCTGGGACTGAATAATTTGAGATAATGTAGGAGTTTGCAATTGCTGAGTCTGCTGCGGCATGTATTGGAACTGCTGTTGTTGGGCTGGCGGTTGTTGTTGCTGAGAACTGTGGCTTTGGTTATCTTGGGAAGATATATCGTCATTCTGATTGGATTGCTGCGAACTGGCTTGATTGGGTTCTACTGCCTCTTCCTCAGGGTTTGCTTCTTCATTTTGTTCTGCATTTTCTTCTTCTTCAGTACAAAGTGGAAGAATAAGACGTTTAGTAAGAGAATTCCATAACTGAGGATCAATATAATCGTAGCTTATATCGGGAATGACTACCTCCGACATTTGTTTGGAAGTTAATTTCTCAAAAGGCCTTGTATTGTATAAAGAACGAAATTCTGGACCTCTTATTAGGACTAAATTGTGTATCCATTCGATAACAGGTCCTTCGTTGGTTTGGTTGAAATTATCGGAGTTTAGAATTTCTTGTAAAATATGAAGTGGAAGTTTTGACATTGGAGCTGTATTCGAGAAGTAACTCCAGTTTTTGGCAAGGTAGTCTATAAGATTTGAGTAATTACATTTATATTCGTCGTATATTTCTAAAATTTTACATAAATTTTCGTTATTTACTTGGATTTTTTGATTTTCTATAGCACTATTTGCTAAGCTTGGAATCTCAAGTTCGTCTGCAATAATTTTGAAAAAGAAAGAGTTCTCGAAAGTGATATGAATAAGTTTTCCCGAAATTAGTTGCATAAACAATGGAAAATAATGATGTGGATCTTTTGTTGAGTTAATTCTGTACTCTTTGATTCTATTGTCTTGCCTATAGATTTTTTGGATTAGTCCAGAAACAATTAAAACTTGCTGTAGATAGCATTCATACCTTTTATCATCAATCAAGAATGCAAAGTCATGCGGGAATGTGTTTAGATTTGTATTCTCAAGATTAAATGATACACGTGCAATTGGCTGGAAATCCATTTTAAAAAAAATTAATGATTAAAATCAATAAAGGATTCATATTTTGTCTTGGTTGTGTTTTTACACTCCTAAACCAAGATTTCCTTATTCTTGGTTTTCATATTCGGCCAAATAGCAACCTATCGTCAACTGCAATTTCAATGTCATTGGATGTACTCCATTTCATAGTGCAACAAGCAAAAATAATTTAAACCCTTATATAGTCCTTTTTGTATTAAACAATTATTCCTTAGATATTGTTATTTTCACTAATGATGTAGGTGTGCAAAATAAAATTGCTTTACTTGAACGAATAAAACAAGTGATCAAGTAAACTATACGTAAAGTTTACAAATTCATGTATTAATTAGTACAATATGCCTTGAATACATTCTATCCATTTGATGGAATAACATAATACCATTGAAGTAGAACAATTTTAACGAAATAGAATGAATTAAAATGAAAAGTAATAGGACTTGAAATAGTACACTTCCTACTGCATGACATACTCACATTACTTGGTATGCTCTCAATTTACAAGAAACCAAATTTTAGGTGCCCTAAAGTCAAATAATTGAGAGTAGGTCAAGTGATTCTAATAAGTATTGCCTATCAAAAGTATTATCGAAATATGAGGAAGCAACATTTACTCAAGAAGATTAAAATGGCTCATTTGAAACTGAATGGCAAATGACAGATCTATCAAATTTTCAATAATTTACATTGAAATGTAGCGAGTTTAAGGCTGCACTTACGCCAATCTGACTTTAATTCAAATTTTTGACAACTGGCGTGAAGCGTTATTGAAAATTAACCTTAAACATCTGAATTGAAAGTTATGTCATATGGGCGTAAGTGTACCCTTAATGCCAATCATCGAAGTATAAAGGATATCAAGTAAATAGTGTCTATATAATTGATTAACCTAGTTTATAAAAAAAATTAATATTAATTCAAATAAAAACCAAAAAGTAAAAAGAGTTATTTATTCAGTCTGTTGTTGTTGTGGCTGCTGTTGTTGCTGCTGAGCCAACTGCTTATCGAGATCCCTATTTTCCTTAACAAGTTTATTATAGATTTCCTTCAATTTGTCGACAGAAAGTTTTGTCAGATCAGATTCATCTTTATCTGCCTCGCGCTGCTTCTTCTGCTGCTTGAGAGTCTCAGAGTTATCAGTCAATCCTTGGTATTTCTCGAGTAGTTTTCCGTATATCTTTTGAGCTCTCTTTGATACTTGTTTGATGACGTTTTCGAGTTCTTCCTTTCCTTGCTGTTCTTCCTGTTCCTCCTCTTCATTCTGCTGGTTCTCTTCTTCCTCGTTTTGTTGTACTTCCTCTTCTTCTTCGTTTGGAAGTCCTTCTTCTTGGATTTCTTCTTCTTCCTCGGCCTGCTTCTGTAATTCGGCTTGCTTTCGCTGTATTGTTGGAGATTGGATGATTTTAAGGACGGCTCGTGGTGGAATGACTAGTCCTGGCTTGCCATTCTTGATGGCAAGATATTTCTGGTGGTAAAGGTCAATACGCTCCTTTAGTTTGACTATCTTTTGATCGTCTGTTTGATTTTCTGCTGATTCTTCCTCTTCTTCTGGTTTAGATTCGGCTTTTTCATCTTCTGGCTTTTCTTCTGTTTTCTCCTCTTCTTTAGGAGCTTCTTCTGTAGTAGTATTCTGTTCTTTGTTTTCGGCTGGCTCTTCGGCTGCTTTTTCTTCTTGATTTTGTTCTGGATTTGGCTGAGCTTCTTCTGGTTGCTTTTCAGCTTCTTGCTGCTCCTCCTCTGGCTTCGTTTCTTCCTCTGCAGGTGTATTCTCTGTTTCGGCTGGTGTTTCGTCAACTTTTTCTTCGGTTTCTGATTTCTTTGTTTGAATTGTTAATGATAAACGGATCTGGCCGGCATTAATAACACTAAGCGGTCCAGTTGAATCTAATTCGAACCAATCGGTGATTTCGTAATCTTGCTTGAATGAATCTAATCTTATTTTTACGAAGCCAAGGACATCATCCTTTCCAGCATCTTCGTCAAGAACTTGGATGCTTAAAGCATCTGTTTCCTGATTATCAATAGGAATAATGAATTCTTCGTTCCAAACTGGATTTAAATTTTTTTCTATAACTTTCGTTTTGAATTTCTGTTCTTTGTCGACGATTGATATTTCGCAGTATGGATCTGAGCTAAGTCCAATGTCCGCGGCACGAAGCTCCTTAGCCTCAATAACTTTAAGCTTTAGCTCCATTTTTTGAAAAAAAAATTTCACTATGATTAGGTTTGTAAAATATGGAACGATAGAAAATATATTTATAATGACATAAAAATAATAAAGAAAATAAGCATATCTTAAAGTATAATTACGGAAAAACTCATTAGAAATCGAATTTGATCTAAGAAATTTTAAGAAAATTCTAAATTAGGCATATATCATATTGATTCTTTAATAAAGGTGTTTTTGGCTCTTTGTAATTCAGATTCTATCCCAGCAACTAATGGAAAATCATATATTCATGCAAGATTGATTAAATGCTGATTGGCTATTCTCTTATACATATGTATGAGAGTAAAATGTCAATCATATGTATAACCATGGTAGTTAATGCATTCACTCATATAGGAATTCATATAAATTAAACTTCAACATAGTGATTTAAACAATGAACGCACATCAACTTTACTGCACAATAATATGATTATGCCTTGGTAGTCAGTTGCATACAATTGTCATAAAATTTCCTTATAAAAGTCTTATTTTCTAAATTCTTTGGGATCAGATATATGGTATGGATGCCTTAGATCAATATGATGCTTGTGAAGTTTGCTGTTGATGTTGATTGCACAAATGTGAAATCATATTGCAAAAGATCTTTCTCAATTTTTTTGAGAGTGATCAACATGACAGAGTTGGACTCGATTCTAGATTTACTACAAGTATTAAAATACGACGCTTCACGCCGATCATTGAAAGGGAAAAACTTTCGATGCCGCTGGCATTCAAAATTACAGAAAAACAATAAATGTGAACTGACAGATTTCATAAACATAGAATGAATATAGCTATTATATGTTACAATTATTTGAGGTGGAGAAGGAGATCAAAAGTGATACATTCAATTTATAAGTGATCGGTCAGTGACAAAATTTGTGATGTCAGGTGACGAATTCCGCCTTCATCGCAAGAACCTTATCGAAGTGTTCAAGCAAAACTCAATAGATCATGGCATTATTGTATTCAAAGGTGCCGAATTGCGCTTAGAACCATTTGCAGGCAGTGATTATCATTTTTATCAAGAAGGCATGTTCTATTGGATGTCAGGATGGGAGAAACCCGATGCTGCCATCTCAATTGACATTGCTACCGGACAATCAACACTTTATATTGAGAAATATGGTGACAGATACGAAATCTGGACAGGACCAATCCCAACACCAGAATCCATCAAGGAAGTTACAGGTGTAGACAATGTCAAGTTCATTGACGACCTCAAACATGACATTCAAGGCAAAGATGTCTATGGAGCCTTAGATCAGATCAAAATGCACGATCAGACAGCATTACCATCAGCTGCTGGCATCGCAAGAAGGGCCAAGACACCATACGAGATCGAACAGATCAAGAAAGCCGCAGAATTAACTTCAGAAGCCATAATCCACGTAATGAAGAATATCAAGCCAGGATGGAGCGAGCAACAAGTAGATGCCGAATTTACTTACTACGGCTTCAAGAACGGCGCCAGAGAGAAAAGTTTTCTTACAATCGCCGCATCCGGCCAAGATGCTGTTTATCTCCACAACAGCGCTAACGAAGGTGTCTGCAAGGACGGCGACCTTCTTCTTCTCGACTGCGGATTCTTCTGGAACCACTATGCCGGTGATATTACAAGAACATTCCCAGTTAATGGCAAATTCTCAGTAATTCAGCGCAATGTATACTCAATATTACTCGAGAAGCAGATCGAGCTCTGCAATATGATCAAGCCAGGCCTTACTTTCGCTGAAATGAACAAAACAATGTTCAAATACATGTATCAGTGCTTGGAAGCCATCGGATTGATCAAGAAAGAGATGACAGTTGACGAGAAGAACCAGAACGAGATCGCAAGAGTCTTCACTCCCCACAGTTTGACTCATCACGTCGGATGCAACGTTCACGACGTAAACTACGAAAAATCTGACTTGATAAAGGACACAAACGATGAAGCCAGGACTTGCAGACCAGGAAACATCGTAACAATCGAGCCAGGACTCTACTTCCACAAGACAAGGATACAGAAGATCATGGCTGAGAAATCTGCACCGTACTACGAATTCGTCGACTGGGACTGGGCTTTGAAACTCGCTGACGAAGTCGGAGGAATCAGAATCGAAGACGATATGTTGGTAACTGAGACAGGAAACCAGAGACTCAGCCCTTGCCCGAAGTCTTGCGACGAAATCGAACAGATAATGGCTTCAAGAGTACTTTGAAAAAAATGATTTTTTTTTTAACAAAATGTTGAATAAAAAACTCAAAAAAACTAATAATAAAGAATAAGATTTTTATCAATATGTTATTACCATTTGTCTTTGGAGTTCACTTCAGGGTGCACTTACCACTTTCTGACATTCTCTCAATTTTTTTGAGAGTAGGTGACAAAAGTGCATACTCTTAAATTAACCTTAAATGTTGATTTTTTGATATTTTCGGTATTAACCTTATTGTAAATTTTTCCGGTGATAAATTTATCACACTGAGGTTATTTTTCCGGTGAGATTTAAAAAAAAAAAAAGGTAGTGGGGCTTCCAGGCACTTCGTGCCCTCTAGCCCCGAAGATGTTTAGTATAAATGAAGTTTTTATTCGGAAAATTGTTAGTCTTCTGGTGTGAATTCGGAGGACTCTTCTTCTTCCTCCATTGCTTCTGGGAAGAAGCCTTCTTCTGGGTCGAAAACATTATATAATGTGTCGCTTTTCACAAATTATATATGTTTTCATGCTTTGTCACTTTTCTGTCACTTTTCAGGGAAAAACATTTTTATTATTATATATAAATGAATTTTACAAAACCTCCGTTACCGTTCTTTGGAAATAAGAGTAAATGTAAAGATATTATATTGAGAGAACTTAAGAAACTACCGAATGGTCTAACATTTGTAGATTTGTTCGGTGGAAGTTTCTATATATCCCATTTGTGCCATACAATATTCCCAGACTCAAAGATTATATGCAATGACTTCGACAACTATATGGACCGTCTCAAACATATACCAGACACAAACAATATATTGAAAGAGTTAAAAGAAAAGATACCTATAGGTAAGATGGAACGTATACCATTAGATAAGAAAAATATTGTGAGAGAGGTTTTGAAAAAAGCAGAATATATAGACTGGGATAGTATATCTGCTAGACTATTATATAGTGGTTCTATAAGAGTTCATGACATTGAAACACTTATGTCAAAAGTTTTATATCTTAACTATACAAATGTTTTCAAAGAGGACATAGAAAAATATATTGAGGGTATAGAGTTTGTGAGATGTTATTGGACAGAGTTGTATGAAAAATATAAAGACAAGGAAAATGTTTTCTTTATAGTGGACCCGCCGTTCTATAACACATGGGATTTTCAATACCAAGTAGACTGGACTTTGAGAGACGCTTTAGAAAACTTTAGACGTTATACATAAACCATCCATGCTTTTACTTTACATCCGATAAAAGTGGTTTGGAAACCGTTATGAGATGTTAGAGGACATACATGACTATGAGTTTATATATGACAAGATAGAATATGAGAGAGGACCTATAAACTGGAGAAAGTGTCACAATAAAGAAATTTTATTAGTAAGTAAATGTGGTTTGAAATAGGACTACTTGTTTTAGGTTTTTTCCATGTGTCATTTATTTCTTTGACGTGGCAGAAAAGTACAGAGAATATGAAGATGAACAATGCCTGCAAATGTTCAGTATATGTACTCGTAAGAGATATTTTTATCTAATATTAAATGGACGCACAGAACTTAGCGAATGCACAGCAACCTGGACAACCAAACCAGAGAATATTCCAAATGAAGTTAGAATACAAACTGCAATGGCAAACTATGGTCAAGTGCCAACAGATGTACAAATGCAAACTGCCATGTCAAATGACGCTGCGTTAGGTTTGCCACCATGGTATGCAAATATGAGATGGAAAGAGTTTTATACAAACCCTGAAGTGGGATATAAACAAACTTATGCAGATGACGCGAACACAGGAGTTGACCCAGAATATGTTTTCTACCAGAGGAGAAACAGAATGTATGAGCTCCAGTTAAAGAATGCTATGGAACTCAACAGGAAACGTAAGAGACTAGGTGGACATTAGATTTTTACATATAGTAAATGGGTTTTTTCAGTAGATTGGAAAACTTCTTTCGAAATGTTGGAAGAGGTATATGGAATGGAATAAAACCGTAGGAAGAGGAATTTGGAACGGAGTCAAAAAATATTGGTAAAAAGAGTAGGTCAGTTTGTTGGTATTATACCTAAAGACCCTGAACCAGAAGAACAAGCTCCTGTTATACAACAGCCTGAACCTGCACCACAGTCTAGTTGGCAACCAAATCCAACACCTCAACCGTATTAAAAAATTATATTTTACCGTTCGAGTAGTTGTATATGAAACTAAGTTCTAAGTAAAACGCATGGTATAATGGAATTATTCTTTTTCTTCCATCTGTAGTAAAACCATACTTGAAAGTCTGAAATACTTCCACTTGGTGGTTCGTATAACTTTGATAGGTTTTTCGTAAAAGTCATTTGCAAGCATAAGAAAGAGTTTTGGGCGCCAGAAAATGAAGCATGAACAATAATAGCATCTGGGTCGAAAATATTTTCATATGTTCCATTAGGTTTTCGACTTCATAAAAGTCTGGGTGTACTGGATATGCTGCAGGCTGATTTAACATCCTCATAAATCTATACCATGCCAAGTTTTATATTTTGTAGAAATATAAACGTTTTCTCCAAGGTCTTCTATTCTATTGATTTTAACAGTTGCATTTTTCCTGTCATAAATAATATCGAGATGGTATTCTCCTTCGTCAATGTTATACTGTTTTGCATATTCGAGATAGATATCGTTTATTTTTTCTTGAAAAGCTTGAAGAGTTGTTTCTAAGTTTACAAGCAAACTAACTTGTAAAAGTTTTCCCTGTTCAAATTTCTCATACATACGTTTTTCTTTGTTATAGTATCGAACTTCAAAAACCGACCGTAAATGGGGAAACCATGTATGGCTTCTGAAATGAACTTCATTCTACGAAAGCCAATAGCTTTTGTGACAGATGGGTCTCTTAGCCATCTTAATGGGTAGTCAAAACGATAGCCTTCATGCTTTACGGTCTCTGTCTCAAACTTTTGACCGACATTAGTAAAAAGTTCATCTAATGGTTTAGTTGTAGCAACTCTTGAATTTCTTTTTCTATTGAAAGCATTTTTATCTAGAATCAAAATGTCAAATGAAACAGCGTCTATGAGAGAAATACAACACAACCGACAACTCATTGTGCAAGCTCTAAATAAGAACACAACAAACTTTTCAAACTATTCTAAGATATCTGAGTCATTGAAAGAAGGACTTAAAACTGACATTAAACCAATGACAGATGAGTTTCTATTTCAAGACAAGAAGAAACAATACTGTCTGTATAAATCCAACAAAAGGAACTTTAAACGAGAAAACCTATAATGAACTTCTTTTGAAAGCAGTGTTGACACAAAGCTGACAAAGAATATGTAGACGATGCAATAGCAAAAGAAGAAGAAAGAGCTAACAATGCTTATGCAACAAAAGAACATACTCATCCTGAACTAGCAGACAAACATATGTTGACAATAAAATGTCAAGTGAAGTGACAAGAGCTGAAAACGAATATTCTAAAAAGACTCATACACATTCTATATCTGAAATAACAGACTTACAAGAAACCTTAAACAGTAAAAGTGCCGTTGGACATACACATACCATTGCAAATATTACAAACTTACAAGAAACCTTAAACAGTAAAAGTGCCGTTGGACATACACATTCTATATCTGAAATAACAGACTTAAACGTTAGCCTTGAAAAGAAAGCAAATAAGAACCATACACATACAAGTTTTACAACTGTTGCTATAGAAAGTATTGAAGGAACGGTTGAAGAAACTGGTGGGGATGCAATATATTGTAAACCTCCTAACTTTCCACAAGGTTTAACATCGGATGACGACATAACGACGATGAGAAACATTAGATGTAAAGATGTTTATGTCATGAAGGATGAACATAATATTAAATTCACTGCTCAAGATTTATATGACAAGAAAGCAGACAAAACAGAGCTTCAAACATTAAAGACAGAAATGCTTCAAACATTATATCCTATAGGCTCTATTTATACGTCAATGAACTCAACAAATCCAGAAACAGTTCTGGGTTTTGGAACTTGGACTCAAATAGTCGACCGTTTTTTGTATTGTGCAAACTCTTCAAAGGAAACAGGTGGAAGTAAAACGATTTCAGGTGAAAATTTACCTGCACACAGTCACTACATAGATTTAAGTACATCTCAAGCAGGTTGGCATAAGCATAGATATTGGGATTGGTCAGCAATGACAAAAGGTAAAGGATATGATGTTAAAGACAACGTTAAGTTTGCTATAGATTGTTTCTGGAGTAACACTGAGGAGGAGGAAACCATACACATCGCGTTTCAGGATATACGCAAACAACGGACAAAGTAAAGAATACATGCCACCTTACATGACAGTTTACGCATGGTATAGAAATGCTTAGTCGTCATTTTCAACTTCTTTAGCATATTCGTCAGGAGTTGTCTTATATTTTTAGGAACTGTTTTTGAAAGTATACCACCTTGAACTTTGACAAGTTTGAAACGAGGTCTGACAATAGTAGTTTTATCTTCTGCTTGCAGTGTGTACATTTTGCCATGTTTGCCTAAAACTTCATAATATTCTCTTGTATACTTCTTCTATTTTTACGAACACGAATGTGAGTACCTGTCGGGTTCCCATTGTTGTCATAGTCAATAGTATTTTCATATGGGTCGCGTTTAGGTATTTCTATTTTTACTTTGTCACCTTTCTGAAGTTTGAAGCCCGGCATTCTTTCTTGTTTGTCTCTTTTGACTAAATTATTAAATATATAGTCTTTTCTAAGTCAGGGTTGTTTTTCATTTCTTCGGGGGAGTGGTTTCCCAACCTTTTTGTTTACGGTTGTTGTAAATATTTAAAACTTGTCTCATCTTTGCCATGGAGAAGTGTCTATATTTGTCGTCATATACATTTCATTTGCTTCACCACCTTGTGGTTGTTTAAGTCTCTTAACATTTTTATAAACCGTCAATGACACCAAGAGCAGAATGGTTTTGGTCGACAATGAAATATTGGTTTACATTTTTTGAACAGATAGTTTTTTACATCATCTGATTTGAAAGAACTT